TGGTTCGTCTAAGCTTCTGGTTCTCTCTTTTGATTTTATATTGTCGAGGCCGGATTGATTTTGTCTTCAGGAGTTCCGCGGTGGCCCAACTCCAATGTGGATCAGAAGTTTTCAGGCTTTCTCCTTAGGTCTGGAATCTTCTAAGAATGCTTTTGGCCTCAGGAACTTGGGTGGCACTGACCTGAGACCCTGGCCGTGGCTGCGCCACTCAGGGATGCAAAGGCAGATGGGGAGGGAAGAAGCCCCAAGATTTCCCAGGGACTGGATTCAGTAGCTGGGTTGTACTGGATGCAAGGGACCAGGGAGAGTAAGCCTTGGAGCCCCAGAAAGAGGCTGTCAGCCCCAGAAAGAGGCTGGTGGGTGTTGCAGGACTAGGAAAGTAGAAGGAGGTGAGGGCGGGGCCAGGACCAGAAGCAGTGCTCCTGGGGCCCAAGAAAGGCACTGAGTTGGTCTGGGTGAGAAGGGTCAGGAAGCAGTATTGGTTCCCCAGGTGTCTGGGGCCCCAAGACTAGGAATGGCTCGGGGCCCAAACTAGGAGTATAGAACGGCCGGGGGGAGGGGGGTGGATGGAAGGGTGAATGTGGCTTACGGTGTCCCGGCACCGAGAGCTGCGCTATAGACTTATCCGAAGAGGTCTGAGCGAGGATTTTCAATGGTATTGCATAACCCCTTTTTTTATGTGTACAGTGTGTTGCCTTCATGTATGTAAGTGCCGAAAGAGGTCAGAAGAGGGCGTCAGATCCCCTGGAACTGGCGTTATGGACAGTTGTTAGCTGCCATGTGGGTGCTGGGAATCAAACCTGCTTAGCCATCTGTTCAGCCCCAGAATTGCATAGTTCTTATCACAGAAGTATTTATTTGGTTTCCAGTTAAATGAGGTGAAAAATCTTTAGTGTCATTTCTCCCATATTACAACTGTTGAACTTAAGACAGGTAAACTTTGGCTAATATAGTTTCATTAGAACAATCTTAAATTTTAAGAATAATGTTTTATGTATTTCTTTTGCTGATGATATAATTGCCTGAATTGCTTTACTTATGCTTTCTCATGGAACTTTACAATGCAGATCTCATCTTTGTTTTGTTGAAACTATAATTTAATGTAACTTAGCCAAGATGACTGAGGTGGCATGGAATCAGGAAATTTAGGATTAGTATCTTTAAACACTATTAGTGTTTTGATGTATCTTAGTAGGCAGACTTAATAACTTGATTTATGAAATCTTTTTCAAATATTTATTTGAAAAATATTTATTTCAGATATTTATTTATTTCTAGTTGTCTGTTGAAGAAGTGTCTTGTTTGTGGTCAGACTTACTTAGCTCTACATTTACATCTTTCTGGAGCAGTACTGTTACCATGAATCCAGAGTACTGGCTGACATGGAGCCCTTTTCCCAATACAGAACAGAAGGAGCTGCCCAAGTCACTTTTGGACTCCACATTGAAGGTTTGTTGGCTTAAAATTATAAAAGTACCTATTCCTTGACTAAACTAGTTGATTGCATAGGTGACTGGAATACTTTGTTTTCTCTGGAATCTTGAGTCATACGCTGTCCAAATCTTGAATGATTTAAGCAATTCTGAGTTAAAATCACTGATGTTCCCTTTAAAAAGTCATCATTTTGTTTTGTGTGTGTGGTGGCACATTCTGTAGTCTTAGTACTTTTGAGACCGAAACAGGAGAATTGTGTGTTCAAGGCCAGCCTATGCTACATTTGTAGTATCCTAAAGTCCCTAATTTTTTCCTAATCATCAAATATTCAGACTATAGGAGTATATGTTTATATAGTGTACCTTTGTATTTACTTATATTTTTAAAAAACTTTTTTGTTCACAAATAAAATGTTCCCTTCTCATTCTAGCTTATTCTTTTTAACGTATTCCTTCTATTTCAATATACCAGAATTTATTTACATTCTTTTTTAAATTATTTTTAATTGTGTGTATGTGTGTGGGAGTGGGGTATGTGCATGTGAGTGCAGGTACCTGTGGATGCCAGAAGTGATTCCTGGAACTGGAGTTAGAGGTGTTGTGAGCCATCATGCGGATGCTGGGAACTAAGCTCAGGTCTTCTGGAATAGCAGCAAGCACTCTTAATCACTGAGTCATCTCTCTATGCCTATTTATTTAGTTTCTAATTAAGAAATCTTGAAGTTTCTTGCTTTTTCCTTTCATAATAAGCAAAGTTAAATTGAGTCTGTGTAAATTAGTATTTGCCTGGGTATTACTATAGGTAAGTTAGTAGAATTAGAATTTAACCTTTGATCAAAGTGGGTGCATGTTAAAAAACAAAGAACAGAACACATGCATAAGAAGAGGGTGTTGAATCCCCTGGATCTGGAGTTTCAGACGGTAGTTAGCTACCATGTGCCTGCTGGGGGCCAAACCCAGGTCCTCTACAAGAGCAGCCAGTACTCTTAACCCAGTTTTTACTTTCTTAAATGTGGAATGAATTAGTAGAGATAGGGATCTTGAATTCCTGGGCCTCCTGCCTTAGTCTCTTGTCTGATGCTGTGTTAAGATACGCTTAACAGAAACAATTAAGGGAGAAAGGGTTTATTTGGCTCACTGTTTCATGTTATAGCCCATTGTGGCAGAGAACTCAAAAGGGGCAAGTGCTTGAGGGAGCTGGTCACATTGCATTTCAGGTCAAGAAGCAAAGAGGGAGTTAGGCATGCATTCTTGTGCTCAGCTTGCTTTCTTCTTTGAGACAGTCCAGGATACCCTGCACAGGGAATGGGCCTGCCCACATTTCTCATATCTATGAATGTAATTAAGAATACCCCCACAGGCATTCCCAGAGGCCCAGCTCCTGGCTAATTCTAGATTTTTTCTAGTTGACAATTAAAAATACCATAATTGACCTCACACTAGCACAGGAAGGTTCAGGGCTGAATCTATATGAAGACCTGTTTCCCATATACTTATTGTGGTAAGTAGTATCAACATGTCTTAATTACTGCCAATCCTCAGTCTTAATACTGCACTATAATTTGCATTTCTTTGATAATTATTAAAACTGATCATCTTTTCACATACATTGATTTGTATCATATCCTGCCACCCCATCCATTGTGGTAGAGCCTTGTGTATGCTAGTCCACTAAGCAGTATTCCTAACCCTTGATCATTTGTTGCTCATTTTTATTTCTGTTCATTTTCCAATTTTAAAAAACACTAGGTTGTCCATTTTCTGTTGCCTGTCAGGTTTGAATATTACATACTCAGGTTTGTAATAGTTTCAGATATGCCAATCTCTTTGGCTTTCTGATCTTTGTATTAAATACTTAAAGTGCCTTCCTTCACTAGTTGTAGGGTAAAAGTCATCACCCTTTATTACTCCTATGGTTTTGTTTTATGTTTAAGTTAATTTTATCTGTTTATCTTGTTTTGTGAGGTAGGGAAGCAAATTTTTTTTTTTTTTTTTATATTCTATAGATGATACACTAATCCTTTGCATTCTCATTTGAAATGTCACTTTATTCCCACAAATGATTATAAAACTTCTCTCAGAGCCTTTGGTGGTAACATTATGCTGTGTTTTCTGTCATATATTGGCCACCTAACCCTTGCTGTAAGTCCCACGTTAACAGTCCAAGGAGCACAGCTTGACAGACTGCACCTGGCTCTTCTGCCCTTTATTTCCTTTGTCTTAATTCCAACTATCAAGAGACATTCCATTTTCCTCTTGTTGCTCAGGGCCCTAGCAGCCTTTGTAGAGCTGTGTTCTCCAAATGCTGCTTTGGAGTGTTAACCAGCAGCTACAGAGCAAGCTCCTGGGATGTAAGTGGACTCCCCATCCTGTCTTCCTCACATGTCACCCTGGGAGAGTGGGCTGAGAGAGCCCAGCAGCTCCAGGACATCAGCTCATTGCTGTGGACCAACATGGCTGTGCCTTCAGTAGCAGAATTCAGGTATTTCTTCCCTTGGGAGCATCTGTGATGCTGTTGTCTGTCTTCCAGAACATGCAGTAAGGGCTGTGTCAGAACTTGCTTCTAATGTAATAAGATAACTGATTCTAGTGGGCGCAGGTGGGGATATTTTTTAACTTGTTTGCAGTCTATGATTGGCTACTCTGAGGTATCTGATACCTGTTTAAAAATGGTGTCCATCAAGTGCTACATACAAAATCATGAGACTAGAAATTCACCTCCAAATATCAACAGGGCAGACTGTAGTTCCTATTTCCTAAAATAATTATCATGTATATATACAGGGAGGCTGTATGATTGAGCATGCAACCTTAAATGCTGTGTTGTTCCCACAGACACACGGATGTGCAACTCCAGGGACTAGTGCTGTGCCGGCACCTAGAGGGCCTTGCTGAGCTGCTACCAGAACCGCAGCAGCAGGAGTATATGCAGAATTGTGAACACCTGCTTCTTGGGGACAGCCAAGCCTTCCAGCATGTAGGGCAGATTCTGGAGGACATGAGTGGTCAGGAGGTACTGCCCAAGGAACTATTCTGCCTCTTGCTTACCTCCCTGCACCACATTTTTGGTGAAAGAGAGAATAAGCAGAACCTTTCTGAACCAGCCCAGCGTGGGAGCCTCTGGGTGAGCCTTGGCTTACTTCAGATTCAGACTTGGCTTCCCCAAGCACGCTTTGACCCTGCAGTGAAGAGGGAATACAAGCTCAAGTACGCCCAAGAAGAGGTATGGGGGCAGACATTTGTGGGCTGCACTTATATCCTGACTCTGGATTTTCTTATGATGTTATTTCTTTGCTCCCTTTTACGTCTGTTCCGATACATGAAGACTGATCCCCCCCGCCCCCCAGTATGCTGCCTTGTAAGGTCCCATGAGTCTTGTAACGACTGTATTTTCCTTAGAGTTCTGTGACTAGGCTTGGGCAGGGGGCAAGTAGGGATAGTACGTGGGGCATTGTCAGAGAAATAGTAAACTCTCAGTATCCAGAACTAGGTTTTGGATAACTTTAAATAATGGCAGAGTATACCTAAACTGTACAGACTTTGAACTTGGCAGTGTTTATTTACAACTCAATAAAGGAGCTGAGGAGCTGGAGAGATGGCTCAGCAGTCAAGAACACTGGCTGTTCGAATCCCCACACCCACATGGCAGCTAACATCTGTCCATAACTCCAGTTCCAGGAGCTCCGACAGCCTCTTCTGTCCTCCTTGGGCATTGCACAACACGGGTGCACTTATCTACATGCAGGCAATACGCTCATACACATAAAATAAAAATAGTAAATAAAATATTTAGAGCACTGGTTTTTCTTGCAGAGGACCCAGGTTTGAATCCCAGTACCCATATGGCAGCGAACAACCACCCATATCTCCAGTTCCAGGGCATCCAACGCCCTCTTCTGTCCTCCACAGACATTGCACAACACGGGTGCAATTATCTACATGCAGGCAGTGCACACATACATATAAAAATAGTAAATAAAATATTAAAAAGAAAAAAGAATCAAGGAACTGAAGAGCTGGCCAAGGGATTAAGAGCATTAACTGCTTTTATAGAGGACCTGGTTTCAGTTCCCAGCATCCACATGGTGGCTAACAACCACCTGTAACTCCAGTTCCAGGGGATCCGACGCCCTTTTCTGATCTCTGCAGGCATTGCACCTACCTGCAAGCAGGCATTACACTTGACTGCTAAGCTGCTGTAGCTAGACAAAAGTTTAGTGTCAGGAATAAGTTGTTTCTTTTACCTAACAGCTGTGGGATGAGTGGTTCCAGTCTTCAGGAACCCAGAATTCTTCCATCTCGTTGCTTTAGCCACTCCAGAACATTGCCCTCATTATATGGTCACAGGGGTGGCATGGCCAACCATTTGTTCTCTTCCTTTAGTTATACCAGTTGCAACATGAGTGGAAGACCCGGAACCTGTCATCCCACCTACAGACAGGACGAGACCTAGAAGATGAAGTCATTGTCAATCACTCTCATCCTCACATTAGGTAAGGCCAAATAGTGATGTGATGTGTGGGAGTATGCCTCATCGACTCTGCTTTTAGAAAAGACATGAGATTGACCTTTGTACTGTAATTATATGTTAGTATGATAGTGTTGTATATCTCTGAACACCATGGCCAATTAGATCCCAAAACCTTTGTTTTAGACAGGAAAAAAGATTTTTTTTTTAATTTATTTTTTATTTTATGTGTACGAGTATATTGCCTGCATGTTTGTGAGTGTACCCGTGTCGTGCAATTCCACAGAGGTCAGAAGAGGGCTTTGGATTCTCCTGGAACTGGAGTTAAGGATGGTTCGTAGCTGCCATGTGGGTTCTGGGAATTGAACCCAGGTCCTCTGCAAGAGTAATCATTGCTCTTAACCACTGAGCCATCTCTCCAGCCCTGAGAAAAGATATATTTAAAAGGAAGGAAAAGATATTGAAGGTTAGAACTGGAGCGATGGCTCAGTGATTAATAAGAGCATGTACCACTCTTGCAGAGGACTTGAGTTGGGTTCCAGTACCAATATCTGGAGGCTCACAACTTTTGTAACTCCACCTCCAGTGAATCTCATGCCTCTGGCCTCCACTGGGCTTGTGTGCACATACCCATAGACATACACATATGCACATATAATTAAAGTAGATTTTTTTTTGGAAAAAAAAAGATACTGAAGGCGAGGATTAACATAGTCAGGATGATTGAAGCTAGAAAAAAGAAAAAAAAACGAAATATAATTAAAAGGAAAAAAGCCTTTTGGAAGAACGAAAAAAAGACATTGAAGGCAAGGATTAACATAATCAGGATGATTGAAGCCAGAACTACTACTTCATATGGAAGATGGACATGATAAGGCACACTTTGGTTTCTCTTGACTTTGCATCTATTGCCTTAGGAAATGTAGCATCCTTTTTTGACCTTTAGGTGTAGCTATAGAGCAGATCACTTAATGCTGTCAAGCCTTAGTGTCCATATCAGCAAAGAAACTGTAGCAGGGCTTTGATGAGAGTGTTAATAACCAAGTGTGGCATTCCATCAATGCTCTAAAGATGTTACCCATTTTCCTGATCTTCACCAAGTTTGTCTTCACAGTTTTCCTTAGCAGCTGATATGTCTTTATTCTCTTTTACTATTTGAGGGCCCAAGCCAAATATCCTACTCTTAACAGAATTTTTATATTATGTTACTTTACCTTCAGGTTACTTCGCCAAAGAATCAGTCAGCTGGAGAGTTTAATCCACAGTTTGTCGAAGAAACAGGCCTTCAGACCCCAGCTACCTGCCCATGAGTCCTTGATGCAGGAGATCCACCACTATGTCACTAGCATCGCCAAGACGACTGCCGTTCAGGATCTTCTCAAGAGGCTCCTGCAGGCCCTCCACACAGGTGCACCACGATCTGCCCAAGTGCTCCAGAACCTTCTGAAGGAGGAGGCTTCTTGGCAGCAGTCACACCACCAGTTCAGGAAGAGGCTGTTGGAGGAATATGCCTTGTATCCAGATATTGTGACTCCACTACAGGCATCTATCTTGCAGTTGCAACATGGCATGAGGCTGGTGGCATCTGAAGTCCATGCCTCCTCCTATAGCAGTGTGATCTGTGCAGATAAGCTAGGGGCCCTGGCCATGGCTGTGCTAGCTTTCCCATCTGTGGGGCCCACCTTCCCTACCTACCATGCTCATGCAGATGCTTTATGCTCAACGAACTCACTGGATGCTCTGCAGTGTCTTAGGAAACTGATTGCCAAGCGTTTGGGAGGAAAGGAGGTAGAAGGCAAGAGCCAGCAACCTTGCCCTAACCGGGAGCAGTTGCTGATGAATGCCCTCCTTTACCTGCGCTCCCATGTGCTATGCAAGGGAGAGCTGGACCAGAGGGCCCTGTTGCTCTTCAGACATGTGTGTCAGGTAAGCCTGCCTACGAGGTCTGCCTGCTTGCCTTTTCTCCTGAGGGGAGCTGCAGGGATAAAGAATGGTTAGGAAATGGACATTCTCTTGTCTATTACTTTCGCTTTTCCCTTGACCTAGGTAGGGCGAGAAGGTGCCTCTTTTTTTGTTTTTGGTTGGCTTTTTGAGACACGTTCTTGGTATTTAGTCCTGTTTTCCTTGGAACTCATTATGTAGCCCAAACTTGCCTCAAACTTGTCAGTTTTCCTTTTGCCTTAGCCTACTGAATACTGAGATTATAGGTGCGTGTCAGCATGCTCAGCTCCCCTCAATTAAAAAAATTTCTTTTTGTAACTAGTGATACTAGGCCCACATCTGTGATGTGTGTTGCAAATGAGCCTTCATTTTTCAGTTGTCTTTTCACTTTGCTATTGTGATTTTTGCCTTGTAATTATATCAGTTTGTTAGTTTTGTTGTTTGTTTTTCTGAGACAGGGTCTTCCTGTAGCCCCAGCTAGCCTGGAATTCGCTTTGTAGATCTCCTAGCTATCTGCCTGGCTCTGCATCCTCAGTGCTGAAATTAAAGTCATGTGCCACCACACCCAGCTATATCTTTGGTTTTTAAAATTCCTCTAATTAACCAAAATAATTTATCATTATAAATAAGATAGTGCAAACAAAAAAATCTAATCTTATCACTTAAACACATTAAACATGGATCTATGAATGTAAGTCTGACATTCTAAATTTTTTAAGGTGATGTGCCCTAGTCTGGTTTACAAATTCTTACTTATTGGCAACAGCTTTTTAAGAAAATAATAGCATAGTGACACAATATACAGCAGCTAAAAGAAAAGTGCTGAGCTGGAGAGATGGCTACTTGTCTTTATTCTTAATACATTCAGTTACTAATTTTCTACTATATATGCCATTAAATTAATAACATGCTTAATGTTTTATTTTGTTTACTACTTTAGAGGGGAAAAGCAGTGCAGTTCCACAATAAGCAATCTTTTATCTTTGGGTGTTCCTGTAAATCAGAATTACTAGGGCAAAGATTAAACCTGTGTTAGAACTGTAACTCAGTGAGTAGAGTGCCAGCATAGCACTTACCAAAAGACATGGTGGCACACACCTGTAATCTCAGCACTTAGGAGAGGATCCAGAAGGTCAAGGCCAGTTTTAGCTACTTAACGGAGTTTGAAGGTAGCCTGGACTAGATAAGACCCTGTCTCAAAAAACAAAGCAAAAACAAACAAAAAGACCCATACCACACATTTGATGGTTTCTTTCATTTGCTCATTTAAGAACTTAAAAATGTAAGATAGTGGGAAATTCAAGAAGTGTCTGATGAAAGCATGGCCCAGTGTTACCTGATTAGACTTGAACCCTAGCCCCTAGTCCAGGTTTTCCTTTCCTGAAATGGGCTAGCTTGCAGTAGTGCCCACCAGGTCCTTGCCAACAACTCCCCTTCCCCCTTAAACAAAAAGGGTGTTAGCACTTGTATTGTAGCAAGCCTAGACTAGACCTTTGAAATTTTAACACAAAAAGGGGACATTACAACACCGGTTGTTAAAGATACACGTTTGAAAGAAAGCTCATTGGTTGTTTCATAGAATTTTGTTTCGTAATGTTGACTTTCATTTTGAGACCATGATACTTTGATTTTTGTGAGCATCTCAAATTAGTGATCTTGCCTATGTTCCTTGTGCCTCAGCAAACACAAGTGGTCTTCTTTTTCTGCCCATTTGACTTTTCAGGAGATTATCAATGAGTGGGATGAGCAGGAGTGCATGGCTCAAGAGAAGGCAGAGCAAGAGAGCAGCCTGTACAGATACCGGAACAGGAGCTCCAGGACAGCCTTGAGCGAGGAAGAGGAGGAAGAATGCGAGTTCAGGAAATTGTTCCCACTGCATGAAAAGGTAGCACAGCAGTGGCAGAATTTGCTTGAGAACGCACCTGCTCTCTGAGTGCCTGTGTAGACTTTTATGTCTTTGTTTTCTTGGTGGTTCATGGTCTCTCCATTTTTTGTTGGTTATAACAAGATGAATTGTTCTAATGCTCTTTGCAGGACTTTGCAGATATTTTAATGGAACGAACACTAGAGGAGAAAAAAGGAACTTCAGATGAACAAGAGGAGGGGGCAGCCGCAGACCCAGCTCTGCTCTCCCAGAGTTCAATGCAAGCAGTGATGCTGATACACCAGCAGTTGTGCCTCATCTTTGCTCGCTCTCTTTGGTACCAACAGACTGTGCCACCACATGAGACAAAGCACTACCTCAGCCTGTTTCTGTCCTGCTACCAGACTGGGACATCTCTGGTGACGCACTTCTACCCTCTGATGGGTATCAGAGTTTTCTTTTGTAATTTCAGCATGAGTATATATGGTATTGCTACTTTGGGAACATGGAGATAATGAACTCCCATTTTCATTTAGTTCTCTGTTCATAGTTTCCTTAGCTTAAAGAGTTTAAGAAATTAGCAGTGTGTGGTGGCACACATCTTTAATCCCAGTATGTGGGACCCGAGGTAGGCCTAGTCTAGATAGTGAGTTCCAGGACAGCTGGGGCTATAGGGAGACCCTGTCTCAAAAAGACTGCTCCCAAAAAAAAGAGTTTAAGAAATTAGCAGTGTGTGGTGGCACACATCTTTAATCCCAGTATGTGGGACCCGAGGTAGGCCTAGTCTAGATAGTGAGTTCCAGGACAGCTGGGGCTATAGGGAGACCCTGTCTCAAAAAGACTGCTCCCAAAAAAAAGAGTTTAAGAAATTGATTTAAAATTCTACAATACTGTGGATTTTCACTGGAGTCCTATGGGAAAGGATTTTATTTACATGTCTTTTTCATCGAATTATTTCCACTTTCCCTCTCATAGTCTTGTGTTTTTCTAACAATACCATGGAAGTTTGTTTATTTTTTCTGAACCCTGTGCCTCACTGAACATGCTAGGCAAGTGTTTTACCACTGAGCTACCTTCCTTACCTCTACTTTATATATTCTGTTTTTTTGGGTTGTTTTTTTTTTTCCTCGATCTCTTTGAGACAGTGTAGAGATCCACCTCCTGCCTCCTGAATGCTGGGATTAAAGGTGTGCCCCACCACCCCCAGCCTACTTTATATGGGGGACTCAGCAGTTCTGTGAGACTGTCAGAGAATCTAGTTTGGTAGCAATTGGTTGCGTGCAGTTTCCTACATGACCTCATGAATTACTCCATGTAAATAGGAAAGAAGCTTAAATTTTCTTTCTGCTTACAAGAACAATTATGTAAACAAGAGTTTGAATACATCAAATCGAACTCCATCCATTCTTGTTTACCCAGAATGTGGCTGCTCCTATGCTATTAGGGTCATAGTTATCTAAGTCATTGTTGCCTTGGGGAACATTGACATATGTGTTTCATTAATCCTAATTAGTTCATTGTTCTGACCGCTGCATAAGTTATTGTAAAATCACTATATTGAGTTCACTAACTTCACCATGATCTTGTTACTTTGGCAGGAGCTGAGCTGAATAACCAGCTCTTGGGCAGCCAACTTTTGGCCTGTACTCTATCCTATAACACTCTGTTTGGGGAGGCAACCTCTGACCTGATGATGAGGCCTGATGGGCCCTATGATTTCTACCATCACCCCAATGTGGCAGAAGCACGGCAGTGCCAACCTGTGCTTCAAGGCTTCTCAGAGGCTGTCAGTCGGTTGCTTCAAGACTGGCCAGAGCACCCCACACTTCAGCAGGTAGGGCAGCCAGTTAGGAAGAAATGGATTGCCTAAGGCCTCTAATTTGCCATGAGCATGTGGCCTCACAGCAGCTTCAGGGATGTTGACTTGTGCATTTGTACATAGAAACAAAGACTTGAAGATCCAGTAGGATGTTCTTCACCTCTCTGCAGAATGAACATACCAGTTTTGTTTTGCTCTTGTACAAATGATGCTTAAGGATTCCATTTTCTTCATCAGGAGTTTCTGTCCACATAGGAAAATGCTGACTTGTTGCTCTAATTATCCTACACACAGTCATAATACCTAGAACCTCATGGCATTTTCTTAAATGAAATAAGCCTCACTTATGTAAGATTTATAGTTTCAACTCATTTTTTAAAATTACGTATATACATTTTGGGTATCTATGTGTGGGTTTGTGTAGATGAATGCAGTGCTGGAATTATAGGCTACTGTGAGCTGTCGAATGCAGGTGCTGGGAATCAGACTTCAGGTCCCCTGGAAGAGCAGTATGTTCTCTAAACCACTGAGCCATCTCATCAGCCCCCTAGTTTTCTAAGAATTCTTAATATAGAGAATCTCAAAATTGTCATAATCGATCTCATTTCCAGAATAGTGCAACTTATGAAAGATTTCCTTCAGTCAGGATCCACAGCCCTGAAAGTTCACGTCCACAGTTTTCAGAGATACTTTGAAGCAGAAACTAAAACTGTCAGAACTTTTCAGTACTTATGTCATTGAATCAGTCATAGTTGTATTGTGATACCAAATCTTTTTTTTTTTGTAGTTGCTGGTTGTAATGGACAGAATTCGTAGTTTTCCGCTTTCTAGTCCTATCTCAAAGCTCCTGAATGGCCTAGAGATCCTGCTGGCAAAGTCACAAGTAAGATGTTTTAGTTTGGGGTATTTTGCCAAAAGACTTTTTGTTGTTGTTGCTCATTCTTGGTTTTGCTGACTTGGGGTGAGGTCAGTATGGATATGGTGCCCTGGTGGTGGGAATATACTTTTTCTTGTTTTCAGGGTGGGATCTTGTACCCAGTGTTTCTAGGAGCTGACTGTGCCAGGACATCTAGGTGGTCCTTCAGTCTAGTTGAGTGTCTGCCTGTGTCATCTTCAGTTCTACACAGTGTCCAAGTTGTCTGGTGCCTCCCCAGATGAGTTTATTCAGGCATAACTAGCTAGCATCAGAAATTCAGACCCCAGTCACAAATTGTGTGCTTCTAACTTTGGTGCATAACTGGAGTTGTGTTACATGACCAGAAAAAACTTGAAGCTGAATACACTGCATGCAAATTTATGGTTACTAAAATTATTTAAGGGTCCAGTAATTTTCTCTCAAGGAGAGTCAGAGATGTTACTTGGGGAGGAAGTTGTGGGGTTGAATAATGGCAGCAACATATTCTGTGTTTTTTGTAGGATTGGGAGGAGAATGCAAGCCAGGCTTTGTCTCTCCGGAAACATATTGATTTGGTCAGTCAAATGATCATTCGGTGGCGTAAGCTGGAGCTGAAGTAAGTAACTCATTTCCCCCCCTGAGCTTGAGTTTATGTAATGTGGTAGTTACGCAGTGCTTTAAAGTCAGAGTGTAAAGAGTTTAAAGCCAGGCATTAAAATGACCTTAATATAGGGCATACTTTCTTACAGTATTCCTTACATGGAAAATACATTTTTGAGATGGCAAACTGAGTGGCTTCTTTGTATCCATTTGTAAGAATGTAAGCAGTTAAATTCTGAATTTGCGATGGATTTTACCTAAATGTCTCCATGACCCTTTTTCTCACGCTCAGCTGCTGGTCCATGAGTTTGGATAATACCATGAAACGCCATACTGAGAAATCCACCAAGCACTGGTTTTCCATCTATCAGATGCTTGAGAAGCACATGCAGGAACGCACAGAGCAGAGGGAGGGTAAGGCAAATGACTTGTGCAGGTCAAGAGAACCAGTTGTGTTGTAAAATGCTATTCTGTGTGTCCATGAGCTAAGTCAGAGTGGAAGTTGCAGGTGTAGTAGTTAACATGCTTGAATTAAACTTTCGTACTAATCTTTTATAATTTCCTATGAGTGCATTTAGTACATACTTGTATATAGATGTTAGATTTAAGTCGGTCACTGTGTAGCCATGACCCTTGCTTCCAAGCTTCTGTTTGAAGTACCTACCTAATGGGTCTCCCTTCCTTGATGCATGGTAGACTGGGAGGGATAGACGAAGACACATATATGTTTTGCCTTTTGAATCTCTAAAGATGACAAACAGATGACCCTGATGTTGCTGGTCACTACATTACAAGCATTCATTGAAGGATCTTCGCTAGGAGAATTCCATGTACGACTCCAGATGTTGCTGGTTTTCCATTGTCATGTCTTGCTGATGCCTCAAGTTGAAGGAAAAGGTGGGGATTTTTTTTTTCCCCTTTTACCATGTACTATTCGTTTATTTTATTTTGTTAAACATTTTGGTTTTATTTTTATTTTACACGTATGAGTGTATTGCTTGAATGTAGGTAGGTGCACCTATTGCACAGAGGTTAGAAGAGGGTATCAGTAATTCCCCTGGAACTGGAGTTACTGACAGTTGTTAGCTGTCATGTGGGTGGCCGGAATCGACCCTCGGTCTTCTGTAAGAGCAATCAGTGCTCTTAACTGCTGAGCCATCTCTCCAGCACCCGTGCACCCCCCTTTTAGGTTTATTTTTGAGGCAAGGTCTTACTATATCCTTGGCTGGCCTGGAATTTACTGTGTTGACCAAGGTGGCCTTATCTCACAGAGATCCACCTGCTCTGCATCCTAAGTCCCTGAGAGGTGTGTGTCGGCATGCCTGCTAAGACACTGCTTGATCTAAGTCATTGTGTTATTTGATCTACTGAGAGCATGCCACATAATAAACTACACTTAAACTTGCTACTGTCAATTACTACCACAGCAGGTGTGAAACCAAACTGTCACTATAAAATAAAAACGAATATAGAGTATGGATGAATGAGCAGTTGTGGTGACATTTTAATATGTTATCTTTTAATAAAGAGTCGAAGTTCAGAATCTGGTAAAGGTTCAAAAACAGGCAAAGATTTTGAAAGTTTGATTTAAAGAGAACCTCTTTCAGTATATCATCTTTAATAACAGAACAGCAGTCTGTTAGAAGCTGAAATGTAAAATAGGTTAAAGAGCCTGATTGTGGAATATGCAGTGATTTTTTTATGGCACAAGTAATGAGGATGGCTCATCACTGAATCTGAAGCCCACTGCTGGCACGGGTAGCACATGTAGTAATTTATAGTGTATTTGTTTCCTTTTCATTTCTTTCAGATTCACTTTGCAGTGTTCTGTGGAATTTGTACCATTATTACAAGCAGTTTCTTGGTGGGGTCCAGGCCAAAATTGCGGAACTTCGTTCTCCCATAGAAAAAGAGCTTAAAGTAAGATGAGCAGCTATCATAATCACCCTAGGACAAACAACCAGCCAGTTGTTTTTCTTTAATCCTGATGTTTACTCTAACAGCAAGGCAGGGGCTAAAGGGAACAGAGGCAAGCATTGTTTTGCCAGGTGGGATGACATATTGACATTTGGTGATGTTGGCTCCATTGCTGACATGACCAATATGTCAGCAGACAGTGAAGTGGCGCCCGAAGAAGTTCTTAGATGCTGATACAGAGGTCTTGGGGTGCCCTAGTGGTCTTGCCTAGGCTCTTCATCCACCTCACAGGTGTTATTTGGGAAATGAAATGAACTAAGTGCCTTGGGGAAAGGAGAGTCCTCTGTTTTTGATATGTCAGTGAAAATTAGGGTTGCAGAACCACCACTAGTATGAGAACTTGACTAACTTGGTGGTTTCTAAGCAGGAGTACAATAACTTACTGATGGTAGAGCACCTGTTTTGATTAATTTGAGACAAATTTTGAGTCTTCCATTTGTTCCCCGACATAGTCATGTGTTCGGGATGAAATGGGCTCTGACCTTTGGCAGATATATAATCTAGGAAGAAACAAACAGTAATACCAACTTTATAAAGCCATTTCCTGATCTTCCTTTATCTTCTAGGAATTTGTTAAGATATCGAAGTGGAATGATGTCAGCTTCTGGTCCATTAAACAATCTGTGGAAAAGACACATAGGTAATACATCTTTTTATACTAGAAGTAACCGAAAAATCACGATTTTGTGTGGTAGGCTGCAAGATGACATTCTTCTCATGACCTGACCTGTATCACCCTTCTGCTACCACATACAAAATCTACATACATCTAGGAAAATTGCGTGAGCCTTGAGACGGCAGGCCTAGCAGGCCTGGTCTGCCACCGTTTCACTGTTCAAGTAAAGCAATCCCAACATTCCTGGCCTCAGTTTTCTCTTGGCGAAAAGGTGGAGTGCTGGTACTTGACCTGCTTTTTCTCTTAAAAAAAATCCAAAATGATTATGAATACCTTAGTTTTCAAAGTATTTCTTTACTTTCAAATTCCTTTAAAATGGTATTTTAAACTTCCTATCTGTTACCACCTGGGATCAGGACCCTGTTTAAATTCATGAAGAAGTTTGAAGCTGTCCTGAATGAACCCTGTCGGTCATGCCTGGTGGAGAGTGATAAGGAAGAACAGCCTGACTGTTTGCCTGAGTCAACAGAGGAAGCTGCAAGCAAGGCGTCTCCCATTCAGGGTCTGAACAGGACACTGAGGGAGACCCTGTTAGCACAACCAGCAGTATGGCAGGTACTCGCTTGTGTGGGGTTTCATATTCATTCTCAAGCCAGCTGGGCTGGGTCTCTCATGGGTTAGGGGATATACTGGGAACTAGACAAGAAAAATGAAATTTTGTTCTTTGGATATGTATAATATTTGATTGATTGCCTGACTATGCTGCAGAATTAGGCAACAAGCAAGTATCAACCAAAAACTTGATTCTGGGTGACTTAATTTGATGATCTGAGTTTAATCCCTAGAGCCAACATAAGAGGTGGAAGGAGAAACGACTCCATAAAGTTTTCCTCTGATGCTCACACAGTGCTAGGAGATGTATACATCCTTGTACACATAGTAATAATAAAAGAAAAAATTTTTTTTGGTCTTTTTGAAACAGGGTCTCCTTGTAGCCCCAGCTGGCCTTTGAACTCACAAAGATCTGTCTGCTTCTGCCTCCCAAGTGCTGAGATTAAAGGCGTGCGCCACCACGCCTGGCAATAAACAAAAAATTTTTAAGAATACTGGTTATATTTGCTGCAATTTAACATCAGCCTATAGAAACTAACTCTTGTGCTCATCTCTGAACATTTTGTTTAATTGTGAGGGAAGATTTGAAAGATCGGTTTAAGAATGTGCCTAGTGGAGCTGACTTGCCACATGGAAGCTGCTACAGTCCATGTGTGCGAGGCAGTAAAATTCCTGAAAATGTAACAGTGGTAAGGGTCTTGAGGGAATGCTATCAAGTGGCTGTTTTTACTTCTTAACTTTGGCTGAGGGGAACCTGAGGATTGGGGAACACTCCTGCAGAAAGTAATTACTTTTTACTTCTTGCTGGACCTCCCATGCTGGGGTTCACAGTCAATGATGTAAGTAGTTCAAAAAGCATGGTAGAAACTGAATGTATTGTTAACCTGCTCAGCTCTGTTTTTTAGGCCTCAATTGCAGAGCAGTGTCAGAATTCTGGTACTTTCTCTGTGGAGGGAGAACTTCTGCGTCGCTTGCCAAGGCTCTTGAAACGAATGAGGAAGATGTGCCTGACATTCATGAAGGAGAGCCCCCTGCCCTACCTAGTAGAAGGCCTCGACCAGTTCATTGGTGGGTGTCAGCAGCCAGGCCAAGAACAGGACTTGGTCTCTTTTCCCCAGTGGCCCATGATGACTGGAAATGTGGTCCCTATGCCCTTTTTGGCAGCTTATAAAATATTTAAACAGTTAATTGAGTAAGCAAGTAGGCTAAAACTGGAGCCTACTGAGAGCCCACAGTGTCTTCATTTCATCCTGTTGTCCTCACATACAAACTAGAAATGTTAGGCTACCTTTGATTTGTTTAGAGCCTTTTGTTTTTGTTTTGTTTGTTTGGTTTATAATGTCTTGTTGTGTTGTCCAGGTTGGTCTCAAACTCTTAGGTGATCCTCCTGCCTCAACATCCTGAGTAGTACTACAGGCATGTACTACTAAGGCTGCTGTGTTCTAGTATGAGAGAGCGCTTGGTTTTTGCAACTTAAGTTACTCAGGGTGACCTGCTTTAGCCCAGGGACAAAAGTCCATCACCTGGCAAAAGGACGATGTAGTGTGATACAGAAAAGCTCTCTGGTAACCCACCCACAGTGTCATAAAGAGCGTAGCCACCTGTCCTCATTTTGTGACTGCTGCTTATATTTGTCATCTAGGGCTGCCTAGCCAAAGGCTCACATTCTGGGTGGTTTAAACAAGAGAAATCTATCAAGTTACAATTCTAGAAGCTCAGAGTTCAAGGTTAACATGTTGGCAGGTCAGTCTTTTCTAGGGCCTTTCCATGCCTTACAGGTGGCCTTATTCTTGTTGTGAGGAGTTGTGTCCTCACATAGTCACCCTTTAGTCTGTCTGTGTTCTCTGCCGCCTGATCTTGTGTAAGTCATACTTGGGTGAAGATTTTATAAAAAGCCCGTCTCCAAATATAGTCGCATTTTAAGGTCCTAGGGTTAGAATTCTTTAAGATACAAATTGTAACCCCCATTATAGTGCCTGTGTTTATAAGGAAGGCAGCATGGTCCTGTAGAACTTGAGTTTTGGTGTCAGGTTGGCCAGAAGTGGAGTCCTGATTTATCTGAATGGCCTTTAGAAAGTGACTAGACCTCTCTGAGCCCTTTAAAGTCTGTTAAGTGGAGGGCAGGTGTGGTGAGACATATCTTTAGAAGCAGAGGCAAGTCTTTTGCCCTGGCTGGCCTTGAACTTGAGATGTAGAATAGGCTGGCCTTGAGCTCAGGGCAAAAGACTTGCCTCAAAAAGTTTATAAAGTGGAGGTACAAATAAGTGCTTTTGAAATTGTACGGATTAGAAGAGCATTTAGCAAATACTGGCCTGTAGAGCAGGAACACAATACATTTACCAGAAATTTCTCTCAGGTGATTAAAATTTCTTATATAATATACTATACATAGTTGATACTCAGTAAATGGGTTTGTCTTGTTGCTTGCCTGGTTGTTTATAAAACCCTTAAATAAAAATAATAGGCACTTTGATTTATCATCAAGAGATAAGAAAATGGGAGGTATGTTCTTATTTTTTCCATCTTTGTGCATCATGACAAGTGTACTCCAAACACATTGGGCGTTACCAAATGCAGATATAGCCAGATGTGATTCATGCCATTAATCTCAGTACTCAGGAGGGCAGAGGCAGGCAGAAATCTGTGAGTTCCAGGCCAGCTGGGGCTATAGGGAGATCCTGTCCCCCCTCTTCCCCACCCCACCCCCAAAAAAGAATAAGCAAGATACAGATGAATGGTACTTGTGGTGCTCATACCCACAGGATATCCTTGGTATTGGATAATATGAATACATTAATAATAAGGCCCTGGGGCTGAGATTTTCATGTTTTCCCTACAGGTGAAGTAATTTCCTCTGTAAATGAGCTGCAGAGCTTAAAGGTGGAGCCCTCTGCAGAGAAAGAGAAACAGCGGTCAGAAGCCAAGCATATTCTCATGCAGAAACAACGAGCCTTATCAGACCTCTTTAAACACCTTGCAAAAACTGGTAAGAGTTTTCCTAAAACACTAGGAAACATAATCACCAATTTGTTTTAGTTTTAAATATTTGTTTTATTTGTATTCATGTGTGTGTGCACATGTCTGGGGTGCCCAGAGAGGCCAAAAGAGGGCAACATTATAGGCAGTTGTGAGCCACCCAGTGTGGGTGTTGAGAACCAAACTCGAGTCCTTTGGAAGAGCACCAAGCACTCTTAACCACTGAGCTATCTCTCCAACCCCTATACTCACCAACTTTATTGTGGGGCACGCACAACCTGTGTGACTCAGGGGAAACTCCAAAGGCAGCTGAGATAGTAGAAAACAAAAGTATCAGGCAAGGTATGAAATGTCTTTCTATAAGTTGCGGGTACATTCAGGAAAATCCTACAACGCTACTGATGATTCATTCACAAATGTTTTGAGTTTTTGTGGTGAGTTATCTCACAATTTGTATTTTCTGTTTTCATCAGCATATCAGCATATTCCCCTCCTCCCAACATAGCATAGAGAACAACAATGCTTTTCAAACTTTACTGAACATTGGAGGCATCTGGAGAATCATGTTAAAATGCAAGGACTGATCCTATTTTAGTTGGTGTAAACCACAGCCTGACCTGAATCTGCATTTCTTTCTTGCTACATAGTTCAAGCTGACCTTGAACTTGGAATCCTTCTGCCTCCCATGTATCGGCATTACTATAGGCATGTGCCCCCATCCCTGACTACTTGAGCCTACATTTCTGACAAGTTTCTGGGTGATGCTTTTCACAAGACTTTGTTTTGACTAGAAGGGATGATAGTGGCATATTCTTTCTTCCTGAGTCACTTTGATTTAATGAGCGCTGTCTGTTTCCTAGGTTTGTCATATCGAAAAGGTCTTGCCTGGGCCCGTTCAAAAAGTCCTTCAGAGGTGCTTCATCTTCACCCATTAGATCTCCAGAGTGCATTGTCTATAGTGAACAGCACTCAAGAGGGTGATTCTAGGTTTGTTTGTTTTTAAATTGTGTGTTGACCAAGTCATTAAACATCTAGGAGGGAGGTTTGGAAAATTAAGAAGATACTGTTTATAAAAGTGCCTTGCTCAGAATATGGCACCCAGTAAACATTAAGTAGTCATTTTCTCTTCTTTTTCCTTTCTCTTTCTAATATTTGTTCCCTGGGTGGGTTTGTTTGTCATACTGGGGTTAAACCAGGGCCTTAAGCATTCTAAGACCATGCTTTGTCAAAGAACTGTGGCACCAACCTGTTCTTTTTCTGTCCTTGTATTTTCCCAAGACCTGCTTACTTGATTTGAATTTATAATTAGAAACCTGTTAATGACCACAATTTTTGCTGTCTCTTGTATATCTAAGTTCTAAAATGCTACTAAGCTTGAAAACCTGTGAACTTTTGAGACAGACCTGTTATTATCTACCTACAGGTGTTATAAATGATTTTCCTGTATTTTATTTGCTTCGTGGTGTTTGTAGGGCTTTAAATTTCTATTCAAAACAGCATTGTAAAAACGGAGTCGTATAGCAGCCCTGTAGATTTTTAGATTTTCAGAGTAATTTGTTAAGTGCATTCTCATTTTGGCTGTGGATGATTTATTTTTTTGTATATGTATGAATCTTTTGCCTGCATGTGTATAGAGGCACCATGTGCATGCAGAGCACCAGAACAGAGCATTAGATCCTCTGCAACTGGAGGAACAAATGGTTTCTGACCCATCATGTGGGTGCTGAGAACCAACCAACCTTTACCATCACTTCCTTATACTTCCAGAGCCAAGTATCCTCATGAAAATAAATCTATCTCAGCTGTTGACTTTGCATTATGACTAAATATACTCAGAAGTCTTGAGCCTTCAAGATCTTTAGGGGGAGGTTGTGGTTTTAATTAAATAAGTCATGTTGATTTCTTTTCTAGGCTCCTTACAGAAATCTCATCCTTGTGGGATGGGTGCCAGAAGTATTTCTATCGCTCTCTTGCACGGCACACCAAGCTTACCGCAGCCTTAGCAACTCCTGCCAAGGTAGACTGACAAACAATGAGAATTACAGGGGCCAGGGGAAGCTTCTATTTTCTTCATCCCAGGCCACCATCTGACCTTGTCAAGTGATACAGCTTGTTAGTGGGCGTGTTGGAGCTTTTTTCAGAGCAGCATTCAACTTAAATCAGTGTGATTTTGTTCAGAGGCCTAGAACATCTTATAAGTTGTATTGTACTTGCCAAGAGAAAAATGATGTAAGAAAAACTTCATACTGAAGATTCCATCTTAATCTTTTTTGAGGGGGGGCAGGGGGGTTGAGACAGTGTCTCCCTGTAGCCCCAGCTGTCCTGGAACTCACTATGTAGAATAGGCTGGCCTTGAACTCAGAAAGATCTTCCTGCCTCTGCCTCCCGAGTGCTGGGATTACAGATGTGCTTTTGGCGGTTATTAATGGAATGCCAGTGACCTCAGAACCATAATCTGAAGAAAAGCTCCTCAACAAAACATGAATGCATTGCTACTTACATGTAGCACCATCTGTTCAAGCACAAGTCTACCTGAAATTTTCAGGAAATACTAAAGTCTTTCTAGTGGAACCTTTGTGGGGGTATTTTCCAGCAATGCCTTTAGTATGCTTTTCCTTCTCCCTCTGACAGGAGATGGGCATGGGCACCATTGAGAGATGTAAAGGGTTCTCAGCACATTTGATGAAGATGCTAGTCCAACAGCGCCGCTCCTTGACCATCCTGACTGAGCAGTGGATCATCCTCAGGTATGTCCTGAGAAGCTGGGTTGCATGAAACTAGGAAGAGCTATGCAAGCCAATTCAGACTTGTTTCATATGCTGAGAGGAAATAGCTGTAGCTCAGCTATGCCTGGGTCTGGAATGAGAACACTGACTGCTGTAGGTTGATAAAGTGTTGTATTTGTTGTGTCAGGGGTTCCTGGTCTCTGAACTAAAATTGAATCTACTTCTGTTAGTTGAGCTTTTAAGTTTCCTCAGTTTCTGATTTACTGAACTATACATGGGTACTCCTCCATGAAAGTGGATAAATAAGAGATGAGGCCTGTAGGGAAGGTTGTTGTTATCTATTGAATGGCTGAGAGTGTTTTCAAACTACATTCACTTTGGTTTCAACTATTCTCTGCTCAATTCATTGAGGTCTATTTATCAAAGTATAGTATTTACAGGCTAGTAACAGCTGAAATCACTGCAGTGGTGTGATTATTCACTGGTTAGCTGAGGACCTGCTGTAAGGTTCAGCTGATATGGCATGAATTTTGATGCTTCTCTTGAGAAACAGTTAATACTGCGAGAAACATTTTAACAGACTGCTTAACTTCATCATCTTTTTTTTTTTTTTTTTTTTTTTTTATTTAAAAATGGAGAAAAATATTTTAGACGCAGGTTTCATTTCTATCATTTTTTTTTTTTTTTTTTTTTTTTAGATGGTCTCCCTGTAGCCCCAGCTGGCCTGGAACTCATTATGTAGACCAGGCTGGCATTGATCCATCTGCTTCTGTCTCACGAGTGCTGGGATTAAAGGCATGCACCACCATGCCCGGCCAACTTCTTAACCCTTTTAAAAATTGATTTTGACCTATTTTCATTTTGTATGTATGAATGTTTTGCATGCATGTATGTAAATGCATTTGTGCATGCAATGCCTGTGGCGGCTGGAAGAAGACATCAGATTCCCCTAAGAACTGTAGTTACAGATGGTTGTTAGCCTCCATGTGGGTGCTGGGAACTGAACCCTGGGTCCTCTACAAAAGCAACAAATGCACTTGTTCTGAAGCATACAGACTGATTGGCTCTCTTCCTCTTCCCCCCTCCCTCTCTCCTCCTCTTCCTCTCACCCCCAGGGTCTAACTGTCGCCCTGGCTGGCCTGGAACTCACAGTGATCCATGTGCCTCTGCTTCCCAAGGGCTAGGAATTAAAGGTGTGCACTGACACACTTGGTCTAGATTTACTTATAAAAACCACCTGGTAGCGTGGTTGAAGATGACATTGTGTTTTTGTCACATTTCTCTGCACAGGAACCTCCTCAGCTGTGTACGGGAGATTTACAGCAGGCTGACTGGGCCCCTAGTCTATCCTGTGGCCTTCCCACCTCAGGACAGTGTGCAGCAGTGGACAGAGCGGCTACAGCACTTGGCCATGCAGAGCCAAATTCTGCTGGAGCAACTTTCCTGGTTTTTCCAGTGCTGTCCCAATGCAGGGCCAATTGAAGGCCATAGCAATGCGCCAGTGCAGGGGCAGTCTGTTGCCCCATACCCTGAAACAGCAGAGCTGACCAAGGGACAGGCATCTGATGCAGTGCCAGACTTAATTCGCTCTGATCTAAGCTACCCATCCCCAGTACCTGGATATCAGCTGCCATCTGGTTGCCGAATGCGGAAGCAAGACCAGCTTTGGCAACAGTCAACTATAGGGTTGACAGAGATGCTAAAAACTGTTAAAACTATGAAAGCCAATGTTGACAAAATTAGGCAGCAGTCCTGTGAGACTCTCTTTCATTCTTGGTGAGTATGTCTGTTTTTGTTTTTACTGTGTGCTTGGGTGGTTGTACAGAATTTAGTTGTGGAATAAAATTAAGAAAATAATTATGCTGTTATGAGTCCTGTTACCAAACTTATGTGATATTTTATGGCATATGTTTAGCTGTAGACTTTGAATACAGCAGGTTTTGCTCTACGTATATTTTAGTGGTTAGAGGGTGTGTGTGTGTGTGTGTGTGTGTGTGTTGGTTGGCTGGTTGGTTGGTTGTAGTCCCTTTCAACATTGTGGCACTTCTATTGCAGGAAAGATTTTGAAGTTTGCTCTTCTGGGCTGAGTTGCCTATCCCAGGTGTCAGCTTATTTGCAAGGCCTAGAGTCCTTGTTCATTCTTCCAGGGATAGAGGTTGAGCAAACAGACCAACAAATGGTATTAGTCGAAAGCCTAAAATATATAAGAAGAGAAATCGATAAAGCTGTAGATGACTTTACTACCTGGAAAGCACGTCTGTTCATTTCAAGCAATCAAGGAGGTAAGAACATAGAAATGAGGCAATGGAGAGTGAAATCCAGATTATCCGTTTATATGTGTCCTGTTGTAGATTTGTACTTGTCTGGGGTAGGAGAGCAACACAGGCTCATTTGTTTCTTAAAGTTTCTCTTAGGCTGAAAAGCTTGGGGTCAATATGTGGACCAAATTGGGGATTATATACACTACCATAACTATTACTACTTTTGTAATTTTTGCATGTTTTTTGCAAAATTGTTTTAATATAAAATGGCAGGTTTAATAGGTTTATATAAGCAAAGAATCTGCCTTATGTCCAGCATGGCTTAGCATAATGCCTCACTAGATACTAAGTGCTTAACTTAGAGCTATCTGATAAAGTAACATGAGTATTGCTAATGATTTCCAGAGACATCAACTGAGTGATTGATGTTGTTTTGTATCATATCATTTTCTAGGAAACCAGTTGTTGGAAGAAAGCTTTGTTGAAGATTTCTCAGAACAAGTAGAAACTGCCATCCAGGCCATCCTCTGTGCCATCCAGAACTTAGCAGAGAGAAACAATAAAAAGGCAGGGGAGAGCACCAACCAAAGACGACCACAAGAAGAGGATGATGTGTCAGGTCAGAAAAACGTGAGAGTTGATGCAGCTTTTATAATTATTGAGTTGTTTCTGTGACAGGCAAGTTAAAGACCCACATAAGAAGTAGGTGACTGTGTGAATAGAGACACAAGAAAAGTTTATTTTATTTTCTTCCTGTTAGGAATGAAAGAAGAAGGTTTTGAGAGACTGCAGCCAGGGCATCTGACAAAACTCTTAGAGGATGACTTCTGGGCCATTGTGAGCACTTTGCATGTTCAGAAAATAATTTCTTCCATCTCAGAGCTGTTGGAGAGGTTGAAATCCTGCAGTGAAGATGGGAACACAACCAAACACATGGTAACCAGCTGTTTTTAGCAGACTCTTTATGTGTATCAGTGTTTTGCCTGCATGTATGTAAGTGCACCCATGTGTGCAGTGCTCACAGAGGCCAGTAGAGGGTGCTGGATCCCCTGGAACTGTAGTTAATGGGTGGTGGTGAATTGCCGTATGAGTGCTGGAAACTGAACCCAGGTCTCTGTAAGCAGCTGAGTCGTTTCTAGCGCCCTTGGCAGTCTTCCTGCTCTCTGAAGTGGATTGAGACAGAGTGGCCTTCACCTCACTCCATGGGAGGGGTCCTGAAACAGACCCATGTGCCCAACTCACTGAGAATTTGATCTATTTGTAAATACAGTTGTCAGTGGTGTCTTTTTGTTTAAGCTTAACATTTGCTTGCTGAATGTTACAACTTTGAGATGCAGAAGTGCAAAAAATGCTAACAATCCAGAATAAACACCTTTAAAAAAAATGCTATTAGGTGGTTCATGCTTATAATCCTAGCACTTGGGAGACTGAGGCAGGAAGATCACCATGAATCTGAGATTATCCTGGGCTACACATGGTAAACTCTAGCACAGCTTAGGCTACAGAGTAAGATCCTATCTGAAAATAATAATAGTAATAATACTGCTAAGCAATAAAGCTAAATAATGCCTGAGAATTTAAAGTGTACATTTATGAGTTTGTATAAGGAAAAATATCTCAGTGAGCTAGTGGAGGAGATGGGGTTAAAGTGCATGATTGACTTTCAGCACATTTATGAACTGTTCACCATGTCACTGTCTAGTTCTAGAGCATTGTGTCGCCCTAGAGAGAACTGATGCCTGTTCTGCAGTGTAAGTGGTATTTGTGTTTGTCTTCCAGGTCTTCCAGCACTCCTGCTGCCTGCTGGTGCGCTTAGTGCCCATGCTCTGCAGCTTCTCAGACCTCATCCTCTTCTTCCTGTCTATATCTCTGGCAACTCATCGGAGCACTGCAAAACTGCTCTCTGTGCTTGCCCAGATCTTCACAGAACTCTCCCAGAAGGTGAGGACTGTTCACAGGGAACATGGATGGATCAGTGCACCCAAACATTTTATGTCCTCTGCAGGGTTTGATGGGCATTTATTTTGGATCCTCAGAAACTAGGAGGTAGTCTGTACTTCCTATGGGTTTTAGGGCCTTTGTCTGTCAACCTGATTGCTAAATGGGTTTTCATAAGGTCTTAGAACTTGCAAATTACCCACTGATGAATTCTGTTAGCCATACAGGGTTGTCTGAGAGCAAAGCTGCTGCTCTCTGCTGTGTTTTCCTTTCCTCCCTGTCAGTTTGAACTCTCCAGATCTCTTGAGCTAGCCTTGTAGGATGAATCCTTAGGCTACTACAAGAATGATTATGATTAGATGATTAAACAGGGGGCTCTTAAATAGTAAGCGGAAAACATTGTTTTTCATTAAGACATGTATACACAGCTGTGAAAAGCATCAGACCTGTAGAGATTGTAGACCTGCCTCAATGCAAGGCAGTGAAACCCAAAAGATAGTGCAAGGTATTGTCCACATGACCTTTCCAGGCCATAACTTAAAAGTGAGATCTGCCTGTGCTTGTTTGTATTTTTGTGAACACCATCTTCAAATGAGTAAAAGTTCTATTTTATTTCTTCCTTGGTGTTCTGAGATTTCTTCAACTCTTAAGTATAATATAAATGAGGTACACTTAAACAAGGTAGGGATTTACAAACTGAAGATGGGTCTGGACTTTTTAAAGTCCTGGAAAGAGTTAAAAAGTGGGAGGCAAGCTTGATGCCATGCACACAAAAAGAAATTGTGCACATACACACAAAAAAATTGTTAAGCCTATCTCTTCAACAGCTGTGTTCTAGCCTGGCTCAGTGGCTTGCTTCTAAATAACTATCTTAATATATTTCACTCAAATTTTTATCTTGGCAACTTAATAAATGACAGTCTGCCAGAGGCTTCTGTAGAGTTAAAAATAGCGCAGTAAATCAGGTCAAGCTGAAACTTTGTGGTAGCTGCTGTTACCTAGGAGAGCATATCAAAGGTCTACTACATTTCCAGCAGGGTTATAACTGAGCTAGAGAACAATTAAGCATTTGCTAAATTTTCTTTTTCCCAAGGGATTTTGCTTGCCTAAAGAGTTTATGGATGATTCAGCAGGAGAGGGAGCGACTGAGTTTCATGACTACGAAGGAGGTGGGATTGGAGATGGTGAGGGCATGAAGGATGTGAGCGACCGGATAGAAAGTGAGGAACAGGTATGTTTACATAGTTAAGAAGTACTTATACAGCTTTCATAGGTTTTTCAATATTTAAGTTCCATTAAACTGCTTACTAGGCTAACAGTTTAAGACTGATCTATGCAGTCGTAAGGGCAGTCTTTAAGTAAGCCTAAAAGCTGCAGGAAGCTTACCTTTGCAATTCAGCCTCTGGCTATGGTTATAATTTTGGAAGGGTGACCTTGTTTTTAAATAGGGTAGGATTTGCTGGTGATTTCTACAGAGTGTATTTTTGATAAATGGTAATTGGTTTTGTTGTTGTTATTGTTATTTTGGTCTTTTTTAGACAGGGTCTCCTTTGTACCCAGCTGGCCTGGAACTCACTATGTAGACCAGGCTGGGCTTGATCTTACAGAGATCCACCTGCCTCCTGAGTGCTGGGATTAAAGGTACCACCACACCTGGCTATTTTTTTCTTTTAATTAATTTTTTTGTGTATGAGTGTTCTGTCTACATACATGTATGTGTCCAACATGTGTACAGTGCCCATGGAGGCCAGAAGAAGGATTCAGATCCCCTGAAACTGGAGTTATGGGCAGTTGCTAGCCACCATGTGCGTACTATAAACCAAACCCAGGCCCTCTATAAAAGCAGCCAGTGCCTTAACTGCTAAGCCATCACTCCAGCGCCTGGAGTAGTAATGTTTTTTAAAACTTGGCTATAAAAAGCGATAATTAAGGCTGGAGAGATGGCTCAAGGGTTAAGAGCACTGGCTACTCTTGCAGAGGACCTGAATTCCATTCCTAGCACCCACATGGCGGCTAACAACAGTTCATAACTCCAGTTTCAAGGGATTTGACCTCCCAACATTACACAATATAGGTGCACTTACATCCTTGTAGGTAATACACTCATATACATAAAAAAATAAAAATAATAAAATATTTTTTAAAATAAAAAGTGATAATCAGTAGTGCCAAAATTGGCTAATAATGTTTGGTTTTTGTTTTGTTTTGCTTTCCTCCTGTACTTCAGCGTACTTTCACAGTGTTAACCCTGACGTTTCTATTTGAGAATTGAAGCAAACACAAAGTACAACATTCATTGATGTTAATGCTTTTTGATAAAGGTAGAAGATACATTTCAGAAGGGTCAAGAAAAGAAGGAAGAAGAGCACTCAAAGTCTGATATTAAGGGCGAGGATAATGCCATTGAGATGTCAGAGGACTTTGACGGGAAAATGCATGATGGAGAGCTGGAAGAACAAGGTCTGAGATAGGTCCTTAATGCTGCTTTTTAAAAACATAAATATTTTCTTCAGGAAATTCTCCAGTCCAGTAGGAAGCCTCTTACATTCTTTTGCAACAGGTTGGTTATTCTACATAACTATAGGTCAACATCAGCAGCCACTTGTGCTCTGAGGCAGAATTCATAGGTTTAGAGGTTCTCTTTTTGAGTATCCAAGACATTGACTAATGTGCTGAGTGAAGTAGACAGTGGTGCCCTGCAGAGAAGCCCAGAACAAGATGAACTGTAATAGAGCTGGACTCTGAACTCGTTGGGGCAATGTTTTTAAAATGAGCTTTTCCCTAATTACAAAAATAGTAAGGAGCTAAGGAGATGACTCAGTGGGTTACATGTCAACCTGAGGACCCGAGTTTGAATCCCCGAACCCACTTAGAGCCAGGCACAGCCTGAGCATCTGTAATCCCAGCACTCCTAGGAAGCAGTGAAAGATGTGACAGAAAACCCCCAGAAACTCGAAGGCCAGCTAGCCTGGCTTTTATGGAGTGGAAAAATAAGAGACCCTGTCCCAAATGAAGTGGGAAGTTGTCTTCTGACCTATGTGCACTCACTCACACTCACACACAAGAATGTACACACATACACACAAGTAATAAATGTGTTACTAAAAATTTAAGGACAAGATAAATACTGTTAAGCCCACCACACACAAAAGCTACTTAATAAATTTTGGGGTTTTTCCCCCCCCCCCCATTTGTGGCATATAAGTACACACATAGACCATATTCATTTTTGTAGTCTGCTTTTGTTTGTTTTAAATATATTCTAAACCTTCCCTCATCATTAAAATTTTGAGAATATGGAGCTAGAGAAATGGCTCACAGTTAAGAGCACTAGCTGCTCTTGGAGAGGACCTTGGTTTGGTTCCCAGCACCCACATGGCAGCTAGCAACCATCCATAACTCCAGTTCCAAGGAATCAGATGCTGCCTTCTGACCTCTGTGAGCATTGCACAACACAGTTGTACTTACATATATGCAAGCAATATACTCATACACATAAAATATTAAAGCTTTTTTTTTTTTTTGGTCTTTTTGAGACAGGGTCTCCCTGTAGCTCCAGCTGTCCTGGAACTCACTATATAGATCAGGGTGGCCTTGAACTCAGAGAGATCCGCCTGCCTCTGAGTGCTGGAATTAAAGGCGTGCGCCACCACGCCCGGCGAGAATATATTTTTTATAACACGTCATCTGTCATGTTTGTGCCATCATTTCAGCACTTACTCTAAATCTTCCAAAAGCTTTAAATTTGAAATTTAGCATCTTATCATAAGCGAAGGTCCTCAAGAAATGAATGCCAGCCTTAGAGAAGATGTGTATAAGTGCTTGCCTATGAAGCATAGGGAATAACGATCAACAAAGGAAGCATTGGACAAAGATGATGGCAAGAAATTTCTAGTTAATTAGTCTACACTTGATTTTAGATCTTTGGCTAAAATCATAGTAAAATTTGTTGGAAATGAGGCAAGTACACTTGGAAATCACCTAGTCTGATCCATCTCATGGATACAAATTGAAACTAAAATGCAACTGCTGAGTCCCGTGGTGTATTCCACCAGCATCAAAACAAGATGTCCTGACAGCTCCTTACTTTTTATTCAAACATTTAAGCTCTTTTTCTTCCAAACAGTTTGCAAAGTACATAGAACTGCTTGGGTAGAGCTAAAGGCATATCTGCCTATAGTGTTCTATAGAAACAAGCAGTGGATCTCAGAATGGGACCTTTGCCAGGAGGACGTGCGTCTGTGCCTTTTATACACGCAGACCTGGGATCTGCCTAACTGAGCCCAGTGCGTTTCCTTTCAGAAGAGGATGATGAGAAATCAGATAATGAGGACAGAGACCTGGATAAGCAGATGGGTGAGCTCAATGGTGAGGAAGCTGACAAGCTAGATGAGAGACTTTGGGGCGATGAGGAAGAAGAAGATGAAGAAGAAGACAGTAAAACTGAAGAGACAGGACCAGGAATGGATGAGGTAATAAAGATTCCCCTATCCCAGGTTGAAAGGAGTTAGTCCTCACCACCTGCTACTCCCTACCATTTGCTGCTTCTCTTTCTTTGTTTTTCTTCCCTTTCTTCGATCACTTCTTTTCCTTTCTTACCTCACCTAATTGTATTCTGACCTAAAAGAGCAGTCTAACCTAAGTCCTCTGGGGTGTTATGTTACAGAGAAGGGAACTTTTAAAAAACAGACATGCAGATGTTCTAGGCTAATTCTCCCATGTACCACTGCTTTCCTCAGCTCCTATCCGAGAGTTCCAGGGTTGGGGGTGCCACATAGCAGAGTGTGATGCATCTGTCAGACCCACTCTTCTCATTCTGTTTTTGCTGCTCTTTGAGCAGAGCTAGACATCTCATGAATAATAGTCTGTCAGCCAGATTCTTGTATATCAGACACCTGATAGCAAAAATAATCATCATCATCTGAGGGGTTAGCCATACAGAAGCAAATTTCTTGGGCTGAGTATGATAATTTCTTCATTTAGGAAGATTCTGAACTTGTTGCTAAAGATGACAACTTGGATGCTGGGAATTTGAACAAACATAAAAAACATCAAAATGAGAAAGAATCAGAATCTGAAGATGTTGAACAAGGCCAAGAGAAAATTAATGAACAAATTGATGAGGTAATGAAGATTTGAAAATTCTCTGTTCTCCTGACTAAAGACCATAGGTCTTGGGCCAGGCATGATGGCACATACCTTTAACTCTAGTACTCCAGAGGTGGAGGCAGGTAGTTCTCTGGGACTTCAAGGCCAGGGTTACATAGTAAGACTCTGTCTCAAAAAAATAAGACCACAATTCTTTGACAGTCTCATGACATCAGTAGTTTTCCCGTGCCTCATAAAAGAATGTGTGTCTGAGCTGGACATGGTGGCATGCACTCAAAATTTTAGCATTCATGAGGCTGAAGCAGGCCCTTCATGGGTTTTCAGCCAACCTGGGTTACATAGTTGGGATCCTGTCTGGTGGGGTGTGTGGCATCGGGGGTGGGAGTGGGGTAGGGGGTGGATGTGGTAGATTAAAGTATCTTAAACTATTGATTTCTGCTGATGTAGTATATATGCTGTTTGGGCTCATGCTATAGTAAGAAACTAAGATATATGGTCCTTTATTTCTTTTCATAAGTGATTTTGTTGTTTTGTTTTTTAAAAAAATTAACATAGAGTCTGTTTTCCTTAGAGAACCTGTACAGAATGTGAGATTTGAAGTTAACATGGAAGACCCAAAACTATTACAGCCACTAGTGGGTGCTGTGATATTTCAACTGGGTTCACCCTGTGCTGGAGGCCAGACTTGGGTTGGGGCACTACTAGGGAAGAAAGAAGTTGTACTTTTGTGTAGAAAGTTCTTTTTCTCCATGCTCTCTCTTTATTGTCCTAAAGAGGGAATATGATGAGAATGAGGTCGACCCTTACCATGGCAATCAGGAAAAGCTGCCAGAACCTGAGGCCTTGGACCTTCCAGATGACTTGAAACTTGACAGTGAGGACAAAAATGCTGGTGAGGATACAGACAATGAGGAAGGAGAAGGTACGTTTTTCAAGTAACCCATAGACATCATTGGCAACGGGCGGTATCTGATTTCTGTTCAGCCCATGAAAATGAGGTCAGAAGTCCTGTTTTGATAGCTCCATTCCACTTTGAGTAAATACATAGCTCATAGACCAACAGGTCACTCTCTTTTGCTGTTGCCATTTCCCATCCTGTGTTTTGTATTGCTGTGCTCTAGTGGCACTTCATCACATACCTCTCTCTCCAAAGCTATTGCTATGTTCTACCTGTGGGTTCATAATGCAGTCTTGGTATATCAATGCCTCTCATACAGCCCAGTTACATCATATCTAGGGAAATAATGATTTCAGCTGTTGATGTCTTCATTTCGCAATATGAAGTCACTATATGAGAGGGAGTACTCCCTAAAAAAATCACATGCACCATGATTAGTGCATCTGCTGCTCATTTTAACCATTGTGACTCCAAAGGTCTCCTTGTCTCTTGCCCAGCCACACAGAAAGATAGGAGTTAACTTTGCTGATTTGAAGGAGTTACATACTTAGGAATGCTAATTTTAAGTGAATAATTTTGATACCAATGTTGAAACAAAAACAGCAAGTTAGAAAAGAATTACTAAGTAGACTATATGAAAATCTAATATTGGAATCTGACTTCAATTCTAGTGTCAGCAACCAAGAACACATAATATTAAGAGTAAAACTGAAAGACTCTACATAGTGAGTTCCAGGCCAACTGGAGCAACAGGGAGACCCTCTCTCAAAACAACAACAACAAAAAAGCTGCTGAGTATAATAAGCTATCTTCCCTAAAATATCCATTTATTTAGGTTCATTTAGACTAGGGTGTATGAGCCAAGGAGCCGATTATCACTTACTAATAGCTTTCAGAAGTGTCCAAAATATAAGAAAATAGTTATAATAAATAAAATTTGGGGATTTGGGGAGATAGCTCAGTTGGTAAAGTGCTTGCCATGCAAGTATGAGGACCTGAGTTTTAATACATGTCCCACTTACAAAGCTAGGCATGGGTGCACACTTGTAATCCCAGAGACAGGAGGATCCCCAGGGTTTGATGGCCAGCTAGTCTACCCTAATTGGTGAGCTGCTGCAGGCTAGTGAAAAAGCCTGTCTCAAAGGAGGTGGGTAGCATCCCTGAAGATGACAGCGAAGGTTGTCCTCTGGCCTGTACATGCACTTGGATACACAACACAAGAGCACACGCAAAAGAAGAAATAAAACCTTTTCAAATTCAAATGTTTTCATTTGAATGTGAGTTATTTTCTATGTGTGATAAGGAATGATATCACCAGTTATTTACAGTGATAATTGGAGCATTAAGCTATTATGCTTGATCTAAAATTTTCCTATTGTGGGAGTTTCTTGATTTATAGCATTTTTTTGACCAATTACTTTTTTTTAATGTGCCACTGAAATTAGAATATGAAAGCATAGTGTGGACAGCAACAGGCAAACTTTACAGACTCAAATAATGTGTATGTGTGATGCGTGTGCATTTGTGTGAACACAGTGCGTACTTGCAATAGCATATGTAGTCAGAGGATGACCTCATGTGTCAGTCTTCACCTTTTACCTTATTTGAAATCAAGATGTGTCTCTTTGTTGTTCGCCACTACATATGCCAAGCCAGCCCATAGCTTCCAGGGATTTGCCTGTCTCTGCCTCCCCATTTCACTGTAGTAATACTGGAGTTACAGAGTGGCAGTGTGCTTGGCTTTTACATAGGTTCTAGAGATTTGAACTCAGATCCTCATGCTTGTGGGGCAAGCATTTTACACACTGAGCCATCTCTCCAGCTCATCAAATAATATTTTCAGCTTTGCTGTCCATAAGTGCTGTATTGGAAATATTCAGTTCTTTGTGCAGAATAAATATCATGGGGAGCAAACAACAAACAGTAGATGGAACAAACACATAAGTAGAAGGTATGTGCTATCTTTCCAGAAAACTTGACTGACAGAAACATTTGGAGAGCTAATTTTAGCCTGTGGCGTATAGTTTATTAATCCTTGGCATAGAAAATAAGAATTAAAACATTTGTATATTATCTCTCTACTTGAGAAATCCTAAGTTTTTTAAGTTATCTTTTCTATTTAGAAGAGAATCCTTTAGAGATCAAAGAAAAGCCAATGGATATGGAAGAAGCAGGTCATGAAATGGAAGAAATCAATGAAGAAACTAAGCAGAATGAAGGTGGAGGTCCACAGGAGCTTGACGAGGGCCCCAGTGAATCTGACAGGATGGAAGGTGAGGAGCAGATGGACACAGGATCTGATAATGAAGAGAAAGATGCTGCTGACCATCCAGAGGAAAACTCAGAAGAGCAACAACAGTCTCTAGAGGAAGAAGAGAGAGAGGCCACTGAGGAAAGTGGAGAGAATGATGGCAGCCCTGTTGACCCAGGGCTCCAGCCTCAGGTATTATGGGATATGGGGCTTTCCTTGTCAAAAACAGTAGGAAAAAATACTTCATTCCCAGCAGAATCTCTTTTAGGATATTCATCACCAAGGAGTTTTTAAGTTTTGTTTGAAGATCTTCTATCTCTAGACTCCCCTTAGAAGTGGGAAGTATACTTCCTACTGGACTCCCTCACGTTCTTCCCCCAGAAGATGTTTGTTTTCTCTGCAGAAGCAGGAAGAGGAAGGGGAGAAGTCTGACACCGAGGAGCAGGTGCCAGAGGCTACCGAGAAGAAGGAACATACTTCCTATGGGCAGACTGGTGTGGATAGTGTGCAGAGTGCACAGGCTGTGGAACTGGCAGGGCCTGCACCAGAGAAGGAGCCCGGGAAAGAGGTAAGGAACCCCCACTGCCTCTCCATCTGAAATGCTCTTCAGCAGTAGTTGTTTTGTGTGTGATTTCTGGTGTGTGTGTGTGTGTGTGTGTGTGTGTGTGTGTGTGTGTGTGTGTGTGTGTGTGTTGTATATATATGTGGTGTGTACGTCTAAAAGATCTCCCATTCTTGAAGAAAATTATTGTATAAGTCTCAGGACTCACTTCAGAATAATTGCTACAGGCTATATTTAAGTTATATGCTTACTAAGAAAAAGTTGCTAGACCTGATAGTTGTCTAGTAGAATCAGGTTCATGTTATTTTTCAGAAAACTCAAGAAAAGAAAGGTTGAATAAAACTTCATGTAGAGATCACTATGCCTCTGAGAGCACTTTACTTTTCCTTGCTGTTTGCTAGGCTTCTGAATGTAATTTTAAAAAGTGATAATGTATAGAAATAATGGAAATACAGCCCAATTCAAACTACTGGTGTGCTGTGGAACACTGAACATCAGAGGCTTGCTCCTTAGCTGTTTTGAACTCACTTTCCTTACCAACAATAACTTACATTATTGGACATCCATTACGTGCTAAACAGTTTCAGTATTTCAACAGTCCTTGTGATAGCTCTCTGAAATAGATGATAACATTCTATTTTCTCCATTCTATATTTAAGGACACAGCCTTGTTTGTCCTACCCTCAGAATAAGACAAACTCCTTCAGATAAAGTGCTAATCAGCTGGGCAAAGCATGGGCCCCCAGGAGGGTCTCGGTGCTCTGGCTTCTGACAGCAGACAGTACCTTTGTTAGGGGTGGTTTCTCTAGCTTTGAGGTGTGACGGAGGTGTACCCTCTCAGTAAGCAGCCAGTGCTGTAATACCTTCTTCCTCCTTATTTTCTGGTTTGGCTTTCCTAGGAGAATGGAAGTGGAACTGCGGATGCAAACCAGGCAGAAGGCCATGAATCCAACTTCATCGCACGTTTGGCCTCCCAGCAACACACCAGGAAAAATACACAGGTTTCTATCACCCTTTGATTAAATTTAGATCAAGGCAGGTAGAAAAATATGCTCTAAATAAAGTAGTTAAAAACAACAGATGGCCACATTCCTAGCCTTGGCTGTCTTGGCAGACCCAGGACCAAAGAATTTTCCCAGTGAAGGCCCCTGCTCCTGCTATAGAGCCCGAGAGCTGTGTGCTGCTGTCCAGCACCCGCTATAACTGGTCTTACTCTTTTCATTTTGCATCATTTGCTTTTAAAACTTAAGATTATTAAACAGGATGTGTTTATGCCCGTGAAATGATTTACTATATTTAAAACACACACAGACACAGCACACATACACACAGCCCAGTCCCCTAAAAACATACATGCTTTTCTATCCCCACACCACCAAAGGGACTCTTTCCAGAGCAAGTCATTGCTGCCAGTTTTATCTTTCACAGATTCGTATGTATATTTCTTTGCTCTCTTGATTTTATTGAGTATATCATAGAGCCAGGCATGGTGGCACACACCTGTTATCCCAGCATTTGGGAGGCAGAGGTGGGAGGATCAGGAGTTCAGGGTTATCTCAGCTACATAGTAAGTTCAATGCCAGCCTTGCTACAAGAGGCATTGTAGCCTCACACACACAAAATGTGTATCATGGGGCTGAAGAAGATTGCTTAGAGGTTAGGAGCACATGCTGCTCTTACAGAAGACCCAGGTTAGAATCCCAACACCCACATGGCGGCTGACAACCATCTGTAGCTTCAGTTCCAGGGGATCCAATGCTCTCGTCTGTCCTCTATAGGCATTGCACAACACAGGTGTACTTATATACATGCAAACATAACACTCATGCATAAAAAAATTTTATAATTAAAAAGCCACATATCATAGAAATTGTATATCACAATCATATTCTTTTAATAGCTGCATTGAATTCTATTGTATGGCTGTACGTATTTACTTAACCTATTCTATACAGATAGACATTGTGGTTTTTTTCCGTCTTTACCATCACATACAAGCCTCTGATGAATCTCCTTAATTCCCACAGAGTTTTAAGAGGAAACCTGGGCAGGCTGACAATGAACGCTGCATGGGTGACCACAGTGAGCGTGTGCATAAGAGACTGAAGACTGTGGATACAGACAGCCAGGCTGAGCAGGGGCCAGCCCGGCCTCAGGCTCAGGTGGAAGATGCAGATACATTTGAACATATTAAACAAGGCAGTGACAGTTATGACACACAGACCTATGGTATGGTACCAAGAAGGCTTCTCCTTTCACTTACCAAAACTTTTATTTCTGGTACATAATCTGTAGCCAAGTGTAAATGCTTAAAGTTTCTGGGTTTGGGGTAAGTCCTTTATCTTCACAAACAGCTGGCTGTATCCAGTTCTAGTGCTGATCTTAGGGTTTTTTTGATACTGAACATTTCTTCAGAGTCACCAGGTCTGCCCCTGCAATGGCAGAATTTGTGAACTTCCTCATAAGTGAAAAGAGAAGGAAAAGTGTCTCTATAGCAGATAAGCCGTCAGTCATTCTAGTAGTCTGTGACTTCCCATTCTTCCCTTTCAAATATGGGATTGTGTACTTCTGAGGATGGGACAGAACTGATTATAGTATATTTTTTTGAACATCAAAAGAAAGTAGATTAAAAGCTATGTAAAGTTTTTCCAGATACTCCTTATGCTCCGCAGTGTGTTATGGCCTCTGATAAAGCAGGACTCCACTCTGTATCCCTGTGAGCTTATAACGCTGAATGACCTAGAGGTCGTGGACAGGGGATAGAGAATGGATCCTGGGCTGGTCTAATATGCACAGAGCTCTGGATTTGATCCTCATCATTGGATAAAGCCAAGTGTGGTGGCACATGCCTATAATCCCAGCACTTAGGAAGATTAGAAGGTCAAGGTCATCTTTGTCTACATTGCAGGTGTAAGGCCAATCTAGGCTACACGAGATCCTACATTTTATATTCATAACCAATTATTGATAATATAGTTTTTCTACCTACATGTTAGAGGATGGCTTTCAATAGCTGCTTTGACTCATGTGCCCACTATTTATTTTGGTTCATTTTCTGTCCATAGCAGTAAAAAAAAAAAAAAAAAAAAAAAAATCTTAACTGCCTATTTTTGTGGTTGCATGTGTAGTTACACATTATCCTTATAACTTTTCTAGGAAGTAGACAACAGGCAGTTATATCAATAAGGCAGTAGGAATTGTTAAGCCCAGACAAGAGTCGGAGTAGTCGCATAGGTGGGCAGTGGCAGATCCAGCATTACTAGAATCTTGAGAAGCTAGAAGTGACAGAGATATAGTCCACTCATCACTTTGCTCTTCAAATAATCTGAGCTTTCTGCTTCTGTGCTCTGTTGGCAGATGTGGCCAGTAATGAGCAACAACAGAGTGCAAAAGATCCTGGCCAGGACCAGGAAGAGGAGGAAGCAGAGGATCTCCTCATGGAAACAGAAGAGGAGTTGCTTAGAACAGAGGACACAGAGCAGCTGAAGCCAGAGGAAGTCAAGTCATATAGCACAACAGCTTCTGGTGAGTCTTGCTTCTGATCCTAGAGAAGTCAGTTCTCTCCAACAGCTGTTTCGTGTTCTAATATATGGCTTAGATGAATACTTTGCCTATAGTAAAGTCACTATAGTCTGTTTAGGGCACAAAGGTAGTGTTGCAAAATACCATCTGTTAAGGTAAAACGGAACTTCTAACAAATTCACATCTTTTAAAAAATATGTAAGGGGCTGGAGAGATGGCTCAGCAGTTAAGTACACTGGTTGTTCTTGCACAAGACCCAGGTTCGAATCCCAGCACCTGCATGGCAGCTAACAACTGTCTGTAACTCCAGTCCCAGGAGATCCGACAGCCTCTTCTCATCTCTGTGGGCATTGCATGACACAGTGCACTTGCAGGCAATAAACTCATACACATAAAATAAAAATAATAAATAAAATTTTTAAAAGATGTATGTAAAAGCAGAGTCGTGTTTTACTGCAGTTGTAATAAGATATGTTGGCTATTATTATAAAACTAATGCATTTACTTACTATTAAGATATATTAGCATAGAGTATAGAAAGATACTAAAATAGAATGGGGAAAATACATGTGAAATGTAACACATTTCCATTTCATGACTAACCAAGTTCTGTGACAAAGTATAGGGTATGTGTGTTATTTTGAGATAGGGTTTTGCTGTGTAGCCCAGGCTGACCTGGAACTCAAGCTGTCCTGCCCCAGCCTTCAGAATCCTAGGATTACAGGCTTGCTTTACCTACCTAGGCAGTTAATTTGCTTGATGTGTACTCTTTTTTTAAAAAAATAATTTTAACAGTAGAATAATGTAAAATCTGAAGAGCCTGCCAGGGCTTTTTCGAAGGCTTTTTAACTTCTGCCTCATTCTTGTCCACTGCCTGGCCAGTACACAACAGGAAAAGTAGAGTTTTGGGCCTGTGAGACGGCTCAGTAAGTAAAGGCGCTTGCTGTGCAAGCACGGCAACTTGAGTTTGATCCCTAGAACTCCCACCCCCACTCCCTTGAAAAATTATTTAAAAAAAAAAGAAGAAGAAGCCCTGTTACTTGCCTGAATTCAAACCTAACTAACTAGCCGGGCGTGGTGGCACACGCCTTTAATCCCAGCACTTGGGAGGCAGAGGCAGGTGGATCTCTATGAGTTCAAGGCCACCCTGGTCTACTTAGTGAGTTCCAGGACAGCTGGGGCTGCAGGGAGACCCTGTCTCAAAAAGACCAAAAAAAACCACACCTAACTGTAATATAGAAGAGTGGTTTAATTTTATTTGTCCTGATTGTTTTATAGTGCTGGGGATTGAACCCAGGATTTGGGTTTGATGCTAGGCATGCATCAAAGTTGGCCATGCACCCATCCTTACAAGTTTAGGGTAAATTAGTCTCCGTTTCCCTTCCTAGAAAACCTGTCTTCAATATCAGGGGGTGGGGAGGGGAAAGTAGTAAGATTTGACAGTGACCCCCCCACAAAGACCAGAACAAAAAACACAGAGCAGGGAGGAACGTGTGGAAATTGTTGAGTGAATGAGTTGACATGTGATTCATCTGTAGGATAGGCAATAATGAAGGCTGTCTTTGTCCAAATATGATAAATAAAACTATGTCCTTATGAAAATAGGCTTTAATGAGATAGAGATGGAGACTCAGACAGTTCAAACAAAAGAAGAACAAGACCAGACGACAGACTCATCCCGCCAAGATATAGAGAATGAAAGGCCAGAGAGAAGGCAAGATTCAACTATTCATACACTCCATCAATTCCTTGTGGACACAGTTTTCCAGGTAATGGACTCATGAATTGCTGTGTTAATTATTGACTAATTTTGAGTTGCTTTAGAGCTTTTATGGAATAACTCATTATTTAGGCTATCATGTCCTTATCAAAAATTTTAGGAGTAGTAATCTTGGCTTAATGTCTATATTTAAGAGGAGCCTATAGGTGTGTGTAGTGGGGAGAGGTTGCATGTTTGGAGGCCAGAAGACAACCTTGGGCACTGTCTACTTTTTTCTTGAGGCAACTTTTAGAACTTGCCAAAGTGGGCCCCAGGGATCCATTTATCTCCACCTCCCTAGTGCTGGGATTACAAGTATGCACCACCACGCCTGACTGTTTTTATAAGAGTTCTGAAGATTGAACTCAAGTTGTGCTGGTCAGACAAGCATTTTACCAACTGAGCTCTCTCCAGCCCCAGGAAGAGCCCTTTAACTGAGTCGTTCCACACTAGTAGTTTGACTTAATAGAGATACAGATTTATTAAAGACCATTTTATTTGGTGAGTAAAGAATATATAGTCAAGGGCTGGGACGGTACTCAATTAGTAAGGACCTGATTTGGAGCCCCACAAACTAGGTGGCTCTTGAGAGAGAACCCCCAGAGTTGTCTGTTGTCCTCTGGCCTCCACATGCATACGTGTGCACATGTGGCTCTACATACACACAAAATAAAGAGTTTTGCTTTCTTTGGCTAGGCTATATCTATAAATGATGAAAGTTTCATTCACCCATGTCTCTCAAAACAGGAAACAGAATAGTCTGGCTTTGTCCTATTGCACTATTAAATTTGCTTAAGTTTTTAGTTCGGGCGTGTAACTGTACCAAGATCACAGCCGATGATAATAAGTTGACTCTTACCAGGGCCACCACTTAACTGTAGTTTTTCCTACTTAGCCCTTTTTAAAAGATGTCAATGAGCTGAGACAGGAGATGGAGCAACAACTGGAGACATGGCAGTCACTGGAATGTGGTAGTTCAGAAGAAGTAAGTTGCAGTTCCTGGGTTTTATTTTTCTTTTCCACAAAGTAGTTTGAACAATTCAGTAGGTTCTTAGTCTCAGTTACCTTTGTAGAGAGTAGACACAAGTGGAGAATATAATTACAGACTTGAAGCCTAAGTATCCATAGGATTCTACCTGTTTCCCCACTAGACCTATAGTCCAATTAAAAACAGAAACTGATGTGTTTAGTTTCTTTAACTTCTGTTGCTGGTTCTGTAATGGATATACTAGATGAGACAGTGGTTGCTGTGTCATCTTGAGAATAGACTACCAGATCATTGCTTGCTACGTGGCTTTGCCAGTATTTCATTTTAATAATGACATCTCTAAATCTACAATATACGTGCATATTTTTATTTTGTATCTCCCATCATCCTTCCAACCATATATGTGTGTTGAGTGCTCTGCTGTAGTTGGTATAAAGATCACAGGGCTTTGTGCCCATGATTTGTACTTATGTGCACTTTCAGTTTTGAAGCCTGTTAAGAGCTCAAAAACAAGTGGCTGGATCTGCTGGCACCAAAATTCCTCACTCACATTCACCGCCCTGTATTAAGTGTGCAGGTTATAGTCTGTAAGGGACAAGAATAAATTGTTGATTTGGTTATGAATTCCAGTCATTAAGTACCCTGTTGCACTCTTTCTCACTCGGAACCATAGGTTTTGGGTTTGGTGGGAGGAGACATTTTTAATTGATTGGATAGCCACTTGGTGAGAAGCTTTAAAGTGCTCCTATTGAGAAGGTTCATGCAAGTTGTGTTTGATTCAACATTCTAAGGGTAATTTCCATTTTTGTTGTCCTAGGAGAAGGCTGCAGCTGAGATGTGGCAGAGTTACCTAGTCTTAACTGCACCTCTTTCACAACAATTGTGTGAGCAGCTTCGTCTCATATTAGAGCCTACCCAGGCAGCCAAGTTGAAGTAAGTTCTTTTCCACTTTAGAGCCCATATTAGTGTGCCCAGAAAGATGTGCTGTCAGTTCTATTGAGCTCAGCACTGGACCATTTATAGTATTGGCTTCCAGGTTGCCCTTCTGCCATCTCTGCACCAGTATGGTGTCCCTACCCTGTTGCCTATTATCTGTACCACGGTAACTGTGTATATATACACTTTTCTATGGTATATATGGAAATATATGGTATGCTGGCATTTTCATTACTGGATGGGTAACTGGGCCTTAGATGTGGCACAGCTCACTTTGTGGTAGGTTGTATTACTCAACTGGGTCTTTGACCACAAAGATGTCCAAGTCATGGTTTAGAAAAGAAAAGGGAGAGTACTTTGTATTTAAAGCAGAATTTTTTCCCCTAATTTTGTAAAATGCATCATAGCTTTTTTTGTAACTAGTGTTTCTGGCTGTGTGTCAAGAAGACATTAGCCTGTAGTCAACAATTGAAGACTTCAATTGAAGTCTTGTTGTGCCAGAGGACTGGCTACTCAGCACTGTAGGTTTTAAGGTATTAGTAATAAGATTTTAGCCCTTAAAAGAAAATTCTGAGTGATGAGGACTTGTTAATCTTTGCTCCTGTTGGGTAAATGTAATAGAGGAGACTATCGAACGGGGAAGCGGCTGAACATGCGGAAGGTCATTCCATATATTGCCAGTCAATTTCGGAAAGACAAGATTTGGCTTCGAAGGACCAAGCCCAGTAAACGACAATACCAGATTTGTTTGGCTATTGATGACTCTTCTAGCATGGTAGACAACCACACTAAACAGGTAAGGAAGAGAAGGAAAACCAAACCTGTCTAAATGTTTGCATTATTATTGGGCAGAAAGGTATGATAGCCATACTTAGGAAGTTGTATGACAAACTTACATAGAATGCATTTCATTAAATCTGAAATTATCTAAAGTTAATGTTCTATTAGAGTTAACAAAGCTTGGGCTGCTGAGATGACTCAGCAAGTAAAGGGCCCATTGCCACCGAGCATGTAATTTTTTAAAAAATTAAAAAAAACCAAAGCTTAGGAGCCTAAATAAGGTTATGTATAATGTCACTATTATAGGCTGCTTGTTATTTTTTTACAGTAATGTTATTTGGCATAAGCCAACAACCAACCTAAAATGTACGTTTTCCTGGAATAAGTTTAACTTCTGAACTTCGGTTCATATCCCATCTCCCCATCTGATTTTGGCCAACTTATTTATTGGCAGTTTCATTTTCTGAAAAATAATGAGTCTTAACAATATCTGCCCCCGTAATGACCATTGAATGACATTGTATATATAAATAAAATATTTAGTGTAATGCTTCTTCAGCTCATTTAAATTCTAAAAGTATGCTATTATTTAGGTAATAAAGCTTTCTACCTCAGCTTTATAGTCTGACTTTACTACATATGAATGAGTTCTAAATTGTTTTTTAAATTTTTTTTTAATGTATGATTAATTTTTAGGTAGGCTCTAACCTGGAAAAATGTTTGTACTTATGGCACATATTTCTCAAGATCATTGTCACATAATGTCTGGAGCAAACCATTCATATCAATATAATGCACTTCGGTTTGAGCATCTATAGTACTGGGCAGGACATGAGGACCAGTCCAGCCCCTGAGTTGGTTAGCATATGATACTTTAGTAATGCTGTTTACTATGTGCCATACAACATGTTTTCTGTGAGAATCTTTATATTAAAAAAGTTATTGAAGCTGATATAGAAGAGTTTTGGTTCCTTAAACACTTACTTTGTTTTTCATAGCTTGCATTTGAGTCCTTGGCTGTGATTGGAAATGCTTTGACTCTCCTGGAAGTGGGTCAGATTGCAGTGTGCAGGTAATGCTACCTTTTAATTCCAATAGGAAAAATCTTCACAACCTTTGTTTTGCTCACACAACAAAAAAAAAGTTGCTCATGTTGTATCTGGTTTTTCTCTCAAGTTTTGGGGAGTCAGTAAAGCTGTTGCACCCATTCCACGAGCAGTTCAGTGATTATTCGGGGTCCCAGATTCTCCGGCTCTGCAAATTCCAACAAAAGAAAACCAAGATTGCGCAGGTACGCTGACGCAGTCAAGACTGCTTGACATCACTCTGAAGCTGATATTGAGGCATTAAGTTTTTAGAAGCCCATCACCATGAACAGCATCTAGGATAGACATTGTCCTAATATAGAGCTGTCCTAACTCTTGGCTGTGTGTTGCTAGAGTGGAAGCCACCCTGGCATCATTTGTGAACCAAGGTGTAATTTCCTTTTCTCAAGCTCCTCAAAGATCATCTGACTTCAGCACACTCATGTTTTTTTCCCCTCCCTTGCCTATTTTTTTTGAGCATTAGAACTTTGTGAAAAACATAACTTATTTCCCTATCAATTAGCTGAATTTAGGCCTGGTCTCTCTCCTGTTTAGCCTAGAGAAGAAATGATAGGAAGTAAAGCTAAAGATTTTCTCTGGGAAAGAAAATAGCAGAAAATAGTATTTCTACTCCTAGTTCTTGATCTAAATTTGCTTTCTATTTTGCTGAACAATTTTATTTTCTTAAAAGAAGAAAGTTGTTCATTTTTCTTCCTTTGGGGTGTCTTATAGACTACAATATGCTTGATAATGACAGAACTTTGTGGTTAATGCTATTCAGTAAGGGATTATTCTTCCTTTACTATAGGTGACTAGAAGGTAAGCTTGGTTTCCTATAGATCCAAGGAAGTTATCTGATAACCACTTCAGTGTCAGAAATCATTTGAATCTCTGTGGTTACAGGAAGGGGCTAAGTGGTTTTCAAATTATCTATGTCTGGTTCTGTTTAGTTTCTAGAATCTGTAGCTAACATGTTTGCAGCTGCTCAGCAACTATCACAAAACTTCAATCCAGGTGAGCTACATTCTTCTTTATTAACAAATTTCTTTCTATGTATTTGCAGTCTGTTACATATTGCTGTACCCATCACCATCTTTTAATTTTACTGATTAGAGGATTTCTTTTCTTTTAAAAACGTATTATTTTTATTTTATGTGTATGAGTGTATTGCCTATATGTAGGTGGGTGCACCCATGTCATGCAGTGCCCGTGGAGGTCAGAAGAGGGTGTCAGATCCTCTGGAACTGGAGTGACAGATGGTTGTTAGCCATCGTGTAGGTGCTGGGAATCGAACTTGGTCCTCTGCAAGAGCAGCCAGTGCTCTTAACCTCTGAGCCATCTCTCTAGCCTCTGATTGGAGAATTTCACATAGTGTATTTTGGTCATATTCAGACCTCTTTCCAACTCCACTTTGACCTTACTGCACCCCTCCACTTCATGTCCTCTATTGCTATTTGTCTCTTTTTTTAAGGCCTGTCAGGGCTAATCTGTTCCTAAGTGCTCTTAGGTATGGTTCTGGTCAGCCTACCAGCCATCACACCAGTAAGGAAAACTGACTTTCCCTCTCCCAGCATCCATCAAATATCAGTAGATCCTTAGCTAGGGCTAGGACTTCCTATCTGCCTCCCCCATCCATGTTGGGCCCCTATCTGACTTGGGTTTGCACAGGTCTTGTTCATGCTGTAATACATGCTGTGGGTTCTTATGGGCAACTGCCCTGTGGTGTCCAGATACCACAATTTCGTTTCGCCCATCTACCACCTCTGGCTCTTAAGTCTTTTCTTCCTCTTCTTCTGTAGTGATCCCTGAGCCTTACAATACAGATGTCCCATTAAGGGCTGAGCACTGAACAGTCTCTTATCCTCTGCACATTGACCATTGTGGGTCTCTGTTAATCACCATCTGCTGCAAGAAGAACCTTTTCTGCCATCACCATTTTTTTTGTTTTTATTTGTATATGTGTATGGGAAATATATATATTCTCATATATATATATATATATATATATATATAATGTATGTGTGTGTGTGTGTGTATGGATGTATATGTAAAGTACTGCTGGCTTTTAAGAAACTTGCTGTGTAGACCAGGCTGGCATCAATCTCACAGACATCTGCTTCTGCCTCCCAAGTGCTGGATTAAAGTTGTGTGCCTCCATGACCAACCTTTTTTTTTTTTTTTTTTTTTTTAAAAAGGTAGGGTCTCTCATTGACCTGGAACTCACAGTTAGACTGACTGGCCAGCAAACCCCAGGGATCCTCCTTTGTAAAACCACTTTCTCAGCACTAGGGTTACAGGCGTACACTGCCATGCTTGCCTTTTATATGAGTGCTAGGAACTGGAAATTGGGTCCTTATGCTTGCATGGCAAGTAGTTTACCAACTGAGCCATCTCCCAAGCCTTCCTCCACCATCACTGTTTTTTAAAGCATATGTTCTATAGGAAGAAATAAACAGATGGAATTCTGTCATGGTTAGAATTCTTTACTCATTCATTCAGAAATTTATGTTGAGCACATTTGCAAGGATTAAAATCCATAGAGGCACTAGGTGCTAGCTAATACGTATATGATAGATTAATTTCAAAATTGTGGTGGAAAGGAGTATAAGATACATTAAATTATACTTAAATTACATTACCTGAAATCAGAGAAGAACCTAATTAAAAAACAAATTAACCTAACTGTGATTGCTTTGGGGTTTGTACTGTACCAGTTTTTTTTTTTTTTTTTTTTTTTTTAAAGAAAAAAAAAAAAAAAAAAAAAAAAGAGGGAAAGAGAAGGAAAAATTAGGTATACATGGAATTGGGAGAAAAATCCATAGGAAATTTGGAAGACACAATTTCAAGTTTCTGATCTGATCATTGATCACTTCTGGTCACCTACTCATCATAGTGGTCCTTAAAATTCATAGGAGTAAGCATGCTTGCGTGCATATATGTATGTGTGTGAGCACATGTGGAGGTCAGAGAACAACTTTTGGGTTGTTGCTCTCCTCCACCTGGGTCCCAGGGAGTTGAACTCACGATTATCTGGCTTGGCAGCAAGCGCCTTTATCCGCTGAGCCATCTTAGCAGCTCCTTAAATGTTTTATTTTTTCTATCTGTTGCTCTACAATTGGAGTTGATTGGAATTGCTCTACAATTTGACCTTTCTTGAAGCACTAATGAAAGACTGTACTGATAGAAGTTTAATGTGTGATCTGATCTGGAACCAGAATGGCAGTTCTAGAGGTCTTTTTGGCTTTACTAGCATACAGAAAGCCTTTGCTGACTTGTACATACATGACTTTGGTGATTTTGAATTGTTTTTTAAAAATGGATTTTTGGTTTTTTTCCCTTTCTCATGTATGACTGCTACAGAAACTGCACAGCTTCTCCTAATAGTCTCTGATGGACGGGGCCTTTTCCTTGAGGGCAAAGAAAGAGTCCTGGCAGCAGTTCAGGCTGCCCAGAATGCTAACATCTTTGTTATTTTTGTTGTGTTGGATAATCCTAATTCACGGGTGAGTACTAAAAGCCAGGTTTTCTGAAGATAAAGGGAGCCCCTTCAGCTTGCTCTGAATGTGTGACTGCTCCATCATACTGAGGTTTTTCCTGCTCTGTGCCTTCTTTTAGTCTTCACATTAACCCAGCAATGCAGAGAGCGTTTTGCCCACTTTACAGTGAAATACAGCAGTGCAGAAAGATTATAGGTAATGAGCAAGAAAGCCAAAATTCATGAGCTCCTAAATCCCTCCCTAATTTTTCTCTACCAGAAATTTGGCAGCTGCTAAAGTGGTTCATGACCACCTTTAAATAGAGACAGCTCTTTCCATACCATCTCAGCAGCCAGAGCCAGCAAGCCTAGCAGATTGAAAGCCCACAGAGCAGTAATGTCTGAGGAAGCATCGCGCTGCAGGTCAGGTTAACCCCTAGACAGCAACAGGTACAAATTCTCCCCAGAATGGAGCTGGCTGTTGTAGGGAAAGCAGGTCCTATTCCCCTCTGTCCTTGTCCCCTTTCCTCTTTCCATTTTCCTAAAGGGGTGCTCAGGAAGAAAGCTGCTGTCGTGATTACATGGGATAAAAGTTTTGTATGTGGGAATAGGACACAGTATTTCAAATTTATCAGCTAAAGAGGTCACAGATAAGCTAGTCAAGGACCACGTTTAGTTTTCCTTTTCCTTTAAAAAAGTCTTTTGTTAACAGGATTCTATCTTGGACATTAAAGTACCAATATTTAAAGGACCTGGAGAGATGCCTGAAATCCGATCCTACATGGAGGAGTTCCCATTTCCATTCTACATCATTCTTCGAGATGTGAATGCACTTCCTGAGACCCTCAGTGATGCCCTCAGGCAGTGGTTTGAGCTTGTGACAGCATCTGACTACTCCTAAAGCTGAAGGAGCAGCCCACAGCAAGGCTGGGGACCATAGCACCTTCCCAGTGTTCCCTTTTGGACAGCGGTCTCTGAACTTGAAGCTCTAGAGTAGAGTCTGATACTATATTATGTTATGTTATGTTATGTTAGATCCAATTTTGTTTAATGTATCCAACAGCTGTACTGTACATTTGTATTTACAGCATACTAGAGCTTAGAGGACACTCTGGGACTCCCTGTTGTGCTTAGGCATAGCCCCTTCACAGACGGGCAGAGAATGCGCACAACCAGCAACAGGACTGCTGACTGGGGGCTGCCTGTCATCCCCAGGGCCCTTTTCTGAAGCCCAGCCATTTGCTTTCCTCAGACTGGACTGTGCTAACCCTGTAGACAAAGGATTAGAGGGAGCTGCCCTTTGAATGATGCTTTAAGCTCTGCCTTGGCAAGCCCATGGTGTGGGCCCCAAACCTATCATGTTGAGTCCCTTGGTTGGGTGCTTCTTACCATGCTTTTTGTGAAATGAACTACCTTCTCTTTAGAGAGCAGGAAACTTACGGGGTATGTGCTCTCATAAAGCAACCAGCATTATGGGAGCCAAAGCAATCCGCAGAGATGGTGGACAAGCTGAGTAAAAACCAAGCAGCTTTCCATCGTCCTTTACAGATGCTGCTTCAGGAGACCATGCAATAATGCAAAGATGCTTCCCTTTATCTCATTCTCTTACTGCCATCATCCCATGTTGTAATTTATTTCTTTAGTTCCTTCCCCCTCAGATGTTACTGGGAAGAATCATTCCTCACACTGCTTTCAAGCTGCACTGAGCCAGTCTCACTGTGGGAAAGAAATGCTGTATCCACACGAAACACAGCAGTGGTGGTTGTTTTGGTGGCAGCTTTTACTTGGCCAGAAAGCAGTGCTTGAATACTTGAAATTGTGTGCTGTGTTATATTTAATGTTCTGTCCAAATGTTCTTTGTAGGCAGTATGCCACACACAATCACCTGTTGTCATGTCTGTTTGCAGGTTACACCGTGAAATCCGTCACCTTATGCAGTGTTCATCAAAGACAGATTGCTTATTGTTTTACTAAAGCATGTACTTAGTTATATTATTTTTTATTCTAAAAAGCTATGCAGCTTATATTCTAAAGATTAAAGCATAAAGCAATTGTTGAGTTAATCTTGTATTTTTTTCTTTTGGTTTTGTTGTTGTTTTGGTTTAGTTTTTTGTTTTTATTGGTTTTTTTTGACTTTTTTTACTCAGGGTCTCTTGGTAGCCCCAGCTGGCCTGGAACTCACTGGCCAGGCTGGCCTCAATCTCAGAGATTCACCTGCTTTTGCTTTCCAAGTTTTGGGATTAAAGGTGTGGGCCCCCATGCCTTGGAAATGCTGATCATTCTTAATGGAATATTAAATTAAATGGATTATAAAAAGTATGCTGGGGGATTGATTCTATCTGCTGATCTAATCATGTAAAACTGAGCTCACAGATTCTCTGATTTAATATAATAGCTTATGCCTTACTTGTGTTCATTTCTGTGGTCCATGAGCTGCTTTGTGGCAGAAGGAAAAGAGTAAGTTCAGAACCATATAGAGCTTCTGCTCTAGGACACAGTTCTTCCATTCACATTGATTGCATCGGCTAAAGCTTTGTAGGATGAGAATTTAATCTTCCGTCAGGGTTGGGGCTGGTAGCAAAAGATGGAAATGCTTATGGTGATGCTGGGGTCTTTTTTTTTTTTTTTTTTTTTTTGAGTCAGGGTCTCGGAGTCTAGGCTGACCTGGAACTACTTATCCCCCTTCTCTTTACACCCACCAAACACTCAGAGCCTTTTATGTCTACCTTTAATCAACAAGTCTCATTAAGGTGTGACTCTCCAACTCAAAGCAAAGAGTGATTTCTTTGGCCCTAGGGTAGCTCATGGTGTTTGGGATAGTTGGGATCCTGATAAGCAAATGCCATTTTCAATTTGTGAAATGATGGAGTAGCAGTCTTTGGTCCAACATGACTGAGTTACTTAGAATACTAAACATCTGAGCTGAATCTGCATGCTGCCCTAATAATCTCATGTTGAATAACCCCACTCCCACAACCTCAAACATCATCTATGCAAAGGACCTGTGAAACTCACAGAGATCTAGCGCTAATCTTATTATTCTCAGCTAGTCTTGGGTCACTTAGTGACAAGGTACGATCTGTAATACTTAGACCACAAACTAAGACAACTATGAGGTTAGACAGTCTAATCTTACAGGACTGCCACCACCATATATTGTCATCCCTTGTTGGGAATATTTCCTATTACACAGCTTTTGTATATTCAGATGTCTGTTGGAGCTCTACTTGGACAACAGACTCTTAAGTGTATTATATTCAAAATGTCACCAGAAACCCATTCCTTCAACAGATTTACAAAGCTCTGAGTAGGAAGAGATGAAATTGTAAAGTCACAAAGGAAACAACACTCAAGGGCTGGACATGGTGGTGTATGTCTTTAATCCTAGCACTCAGGAAGCAGAGGCATAAGGATCTGAGTTCAAAGCCAGCCTGATCTACATAGTTCCAGGTTGGGCAGTGCTACACAGTGGGACACTGATTGAATATATATATGTACACCATGGTATTCATGTCATGAGTGTTTTGCCCACATGTATGTAAGTGTGCCATGTGAGGAGTGCTTGGTGCCTGTGGGGGCCAGGAGAGGGTGTTGATCACTTGGAATTGGAGTTAGAGCTGGTTGATTGAGTCTCTTTATGGTCATGAGAATGGAACCTGAGCCCTCTTCAAGAACAGCAAGTGCTTTTCATTGCTGAGTAATCTATCTGTAGACCTTCCCAAGTTCTTTTAAGTGACCTAAAAATTGGAGAATCAACCAATGTAGAATGAGAATAAAGTTCTGATCAGCATAAATGAACCTGAGTCCTCAGCAGACAATTCACAGCATGAGTGTAAGTGTTTAGTAATGCAGTTTTTCTGGCAGACAGAATTTGGAAAAGCATGTTTGACAGTGTGGTCATGGGCATACACAGTGGTAGGGAGCAGAACAACACTTGGAGAGTAGAGCACCTAGATTACAGCAAATGAAGCAGGCCAGATACTCAGTAAATGCATAGCTGTACAGTTTTGGTTTGACTTTAATTCCACACTACTACTTGGAGAATAATATGGCAAAAATTCAGTAACCTGACCTCAGATTTCTAACCTAAGTGTGTGTAGTGTGAGTGTGTGTGGTCTTTTTTTTTTTTTTTTTTTTTTTTTTAAAAAAAAAAAAAAAAGGGGTTGTAGAACTAGGTAGGGTAAAGGGGCTGGAGAGCTGGCTCAGAGGTTGATTAAGAGCACTAGCTGCTCTTGTAGAGAGCCTGTGTTTGATTTCCAGCACCCACATTGTAGCTAACAACTGTAACTCCAGCTTCTGGGGATCCAGTGCCCTCTTCTGGCTTCTGAGGGCATTGCACATACATGGTGCAGTTACTTACGTGCAGGTAAAACATACAAAAAAAAATGCCTAGAGGCCTCAGGAGTGATGAAAGTGCTCGAACTGCAATGGTACAAAGATTTAAGCCTACAAATGATAGTGGTGACGATTGGTTGGAAGAAATGCTTGCAAAATGGACACAGAAAGCAACAGTCTCTCCCTCCATGAAAGAAAAACTTCTGTGCTGTCAACTTGACACACCTCGGTGGAAGAAACCTCAAATGAGGAATTTCCTGTCTGTGGGGTTGGGTGATGTAGAGGGCCACCCCCGGGTAGGCGGTCCTGTGTTAAGAAAGGCTGAGCACAGGCCAGAGGAGAGCCAGTTAAGCAGTGCACCTCCAAGGTCTGTGCCCCTAGGTTCCTGCCTTGAGTTCTCGGCTTCCCTTGATAACGGACTGCGAAGTGTAGGCCAGAGAAACCCTCTCCCCAGTCACCCAGAGTTGGTTTTGGTCGGTGTTTTCTCACAGAAAGTAACTAAGATAGCTTCCATGTGATGATTCTTTATGCCAAGAACTCTACCAAACGCCTGCCCTTTTTCGTTGTGTTATTACGCCACCTGTACCCGGAAATGGCTGTCGGATTCAGCCTTGCGAAAACCCGGGTAGGGGCCAGAACATCCCAGGAGGCTCACCGCCAGCCTCGGTGTAGACGCAGTCAGCCTCCTGGGAAGCCGCCGGGCCCGCCCGGTCCTGCCGCCACTTCCGCTCCTGCGCCTCCGCCGGCTGACCGCATTGGGCCAACATGGCGGCTTCGCGTCTACCTCCAGCCGCGCTAACGCTGAAGCAGGTACCTGCGGTTCTCCCTGACTCAGAGCAGCGTCCAGGGCCCGAGCCCTGGGAGGAGAAGCCCCGACGGGTCACGGCTGTCGGGCTGGGGGTGGACGGGGACCCGGCGGGACGGCCGATCTACAGTCAGCCCCCAGTCACTGGAACCGCGTTAATTTAGACCAAGCGCTAGCAGTGCCGAAATACGAGTCAGTGTGTATGGGTTTTGTTTCCGGGACCTTTTAAGACAGTCTCTCCCAGGCTGGCCTCGAACTTGCAGCCAAGGCCAACTGCCTCAACCTCCTGAGTGCTAGGATTATAGATGTTCGCTACGAGGCCCATCTGAGAAGTCAGTCCTTGGTTTTCAGTGTTTTCAGGTTTGACAAAGGAGTGCAAGCCGGCCAAATGCATGTCTGGCTTTTTTTATTCTATTCAACACTGAGGACCAAAAAGATATCTCTGGTCAGTTTGCTAAAATGGAGCTAGCGGGTGTGTAATTTCCATTTCTCCTTCCCTGGACAGTTCATGAGAAGGCAACAAGTTCTCCTTCTCTACAGAAAGATTTTGCGAGCAGTTAGGCAAGTTCCAAATGATTCTGACCGCAAATACCTGCAGGACTGGGCCAGGGAAGAATTCAAAAGAAACAAGAGTGCCACGGAAGAGGTGAGGGCAAGAGCGTGGTGAGGCCCTGGTTCCTTTGTGCTGACTGTGGAATGTGTTGTAAAGTTTAGGAGATACCTTGGAATATGCTGCTGAAGCAGCTTATTTTGACCATTGCTGAATTCCCATTGATATTTTGAATTTGATAAGCAGTAACATCTGGTTTTTAGGCCATATTACAGGGCTTCTTCTGGCCATCCTTATGTGCATCAGTTCCAATTCCCACTACTGGTTTCTTGTGGGGCTTTTTTGGTGTTGGATGAATGCAGGGCCTTGTACATTCAAAGCCCAGCACTGTCAGTTCTTGAAATTGACAAGATAAAATGGTAGAACTGTACCTCATTTAACCTGGTAAAAGAGTGACTAGATTTCACTTTCTTCTGCAGGATGCAATCCGCATGATGATTACTCAAGGCAGTATGCAGCTGAAGGAGTTAGAAAAGACACTTGCTTTAGCAAAATCTTAACAATTGCATTGTTCTGGAAGATTCTCAGATCTTCATGCCTTTTGCTTAGACTTACAACGGACAGCTCAAAGCCACTCTCAAACCACCAGTTAGTACATGAAAATATGATCATTCTCATCAAGAAAATGCAAATCAAAACCTTAAGCTAGCTCTTCCCCTACAATGACTGATTAAAAAGCAAAATAATATTGTGAAGATAAGAGTTTGGAACCATACATTGCTGATGGCAACATAAAATACCTGCAGGCACTTTGGAAAATAAGAGTGTCTTCAAAAGGTAACATGGAGGGGGTTGGCAGATAGCTCAGCAAGTTAAGGCACTTGCCAAGACAGGGGACCTGACATCAATCCCTGGGACCCACATGATGGAAGAAGAGAACAATTCCCACAAGTTATCCTCTACCTACCTCCTCACACACACTGTGGCACAAACACAAAGTAAATAAATAAACGTAATTAAAAATAAAATGATTCTATCGCTGAGTCTAGTCAGCCTATCTAGAGTCCCTTGTTTTAGGAAGATCAGCTCTTCCTCATCTAGCAGCAATCATGGACTTGCACTGGGGAACAGCTGGGAGCATTGACAACACAGTGGACAGTAACAGGGATGACACAGTATGTGGGCTCCAGTGGGGAGAGGCGGGCACTATGGAAGGGTACCATTTGGGATGCAGGTATAAAGATGAGTAAGATTGTTTGGGATGTTCTATATGAAATACACACACAAAAAAAGAATCAATAAAAAATGATTTAGCAATTCTAGGCTATAACCAAGAGAACTGAAATCATACCTATAAGAAAAGTATATATAACTGTATAAAATCATTCATGGTAACCAGACAGTGGATTCAGAATATCTGTCAACTGATAAAGGGGTAAGTGTATTATTATATAATAAAGTATTTGGCAATAAAAATGGGTGAAGAATTGATTGATGCCACCATGAATGAGCTTGATAACACTGTTAAAGGAGCCAGTCATAAAAGATCCATGATTCCATTCACAGCGGGTCAGTTATTGTCCTAGGCTGTGGATGGAATGGAGAGCCACATGCAAATGGGCAGTACTGCTTTGGATCATGGTGAAAGTTCCTAAGGTTGATTGTGATGGCTGTACAACTCTGAATCTGTGAATATGTCCAAGTCTTTTTGAGTGAAAATGTAGATAAGTTCACAGATACCCTCAGCACAAAACCGATGTGTATGCTGTAGTTTATAAGAGTGGATTCTCCATTTGCTATAAGAATCAGCCTAGTGAAAGTTAATTTTATAATAATGTGTCCCAATATTTTTGTTTACTGGAAAATAACTTTACTCCTATAATTTTTAGACATGTTATCCTGTCTTTTGTGCCTTGTGGATTTAATATGTTTGCATTAACATTAAAGCATTTCCCACTGAGACACACACAACCTATCTACATAACCAAAAGATGGTACCTGCTTATGCTGGTGCAGGGCTCCTTATCTTGACTTAAAAATTTGTTGTAAGTGGGTAAAGTGGCTGGGTGCAGGCATTCTTTGAGGAACCCTTAGGTTTAGTCAATAGAACAAATGAAAATGTAGACTAAACATGACTGTAAATAAGTAGACTATCCATAGTAGTGGGAATGTTTAATGCTTACAGGAGACACAAATACAAAGTGATACAAACATTAAATAGACAACTGTGCCTCTAAAAATGATATCAACGTGGAAATACCACTTCATTTTTGGACTCCCAAAATCAGAAGTGATGCTATAACTGACATATTCAACCTATCACAGATATTTAGGATACAGTGTAACAGATGTACTAGCACACACATATTTTTAAAAAGAACATTAATAATATACAACTTTTCTGTTTTACATCATGTTTTCCCACAGGTGTTGATACTTTAGCCTCAGTTTGAACCGTGACCTACATGACAGGCTGGCTGTAAATTGTTGCCAGTTCGTTGTTGTTTAACAGTTCTTTGCAAAAGTACAGCTGGGATGTTTGCTCATTTTAGCACATAGCACAAGGGGAAAGTACACACCAGATCTGCAGTATCCCACAGTGCTGAGGAACAATAAAAACAGCAGTTGTTGAAAACAAAACACTACACTACTGCAGAACTGGGCATGGTGGCTTTCTCCTGTGACCCCAGCATTCAGGAGGCTGAGACAGGAGGATCATGACTTCAAGGACAGCCTAGGCTACACAGGGAGACCTAACCTCCCAAACCAACCAACCACCACTGTATTGGCCTTATGTTGTCAACCTGTTGGGCTGGCAGCTCTTAATCAATAGCCTCGTCTCGACGTTCTGTCAGAACATCAAGAGACAGGACCTTAGTCCTGCCTAGTATCTTCCTTGTGACTTGACAGAGATGCCCAGTTCACAATGGTAAGCTGCCTGCTTCTGATGGGTTGGAGATATATCAAAACACTGCCACCAAAGCATGCTATGGTCTAGACTGGATGTTTAATTACAGTTCTCAGCATTTCTCAACAAGGATATCTTGAGGTAATAATTATTCTGATAAGTGAAAAGAACTCCTGCTTGGAGCATAACTCACTGAACTCAGGATTCAACCTTTTTTTTTGTTGTTAGGCAGTCCCCAATAATTTGGTGTATAACGAGGAATAACCCTACAGAAGTTAGTGACATCTTGTTGCAGGTAGATTTAGGAAACTGAAGGTACAATCTAGCTATACAAGTCTGCCTGCAATAGGACCCTGGCGGGGGAGGGGGGCACTGAAGAGGAACAAGACAGGTCAGTCACATGAAATGAGTTGACACTGGATTCTTTCCATGTTCAGGTTCTGTAATAACAGCGTACATCTACTGACTTACTTAAAATAGCTACATTCGTGAACCATCCTTGTAAGAAAACAAAATTTAGCTTGACAAAAGACTAAATGTGTACTACTTCCAATGGTTCCCTAGCAACAAGTCATTACTTCTCTTTGGCTCAATGAGCAGCATCTTAGTCACAATTCATGGGCAATAGTTATTAGGTTCCTAGGTTTCTAGAAATAGAATTGAGACTTCTATGCATACCTGGTATTTTGTAGAAATGTTTCTAATCCATGTGTCAACTGAAAAGGAGCTTGGAGGACAAACCCAAGGTTTCAATGTAACCATGCTACCTTTACAACCTTGTTCCTATATTTTACTTACATTTTATTTAGTAACCAAGTAAAGCCTTCTGATACCATAAAAGTGGTGCCTAAACCAACTTAGTCACTTAATCACCTTAACATCTTCAGTACAAAACAAAATATTTGATGTTCTTCAACAAGAGAAGTCCATTCAGCCAGGCGTGGTGGCACACGCCTTTAGTCCCAGCACTCGGGAGGCAGAGGCAGGTGGATTTCTGTGAGTTCAAGGCCAGCCTGGTCTACATAGTAAGTTCCAGGCCAGCTGGGGCTATAGGGAGACCCTGTCTCAAGAGACCAAAAAAAAAGTTCATTCAAAATGAAACTCAAGAGATTGCCTTCTTTCTAAGATACAGTCTTGAATTCAGAAGGGTACTCTAGTCAAGTGTGGTGGTGTACGCCTTTAATCCCAGCAATTGGGAGGTAGAGGCAGGTGGGTCTCTGAGATTGAGGCCACCATGGTCTGGTCTACATAGTTCCAGGCCAGCGGGGCTATAGGGAAAAGGGTACTTTAAGGTAACTAGCTGCAGAAGTTTCCATTAATGGCTACATGAATGTATTAATCTGCTCACAATTATTTTGGCTGAAAATATAGAAACTGGTCAAATGACCGTTTCTCTTTTGATCTCATTATTTACAAATATTTCCAGTGCTGTTAGCAATTACTCATTGTTTAAATGACTTAAAAATTATTTAAAGCTATAATGGGCATTATGAGATCATGAAAATGTCTTTCAAAATCTGAAGTTTTCACCTCATTAAGACACCAGCATTTGGAGAATTACAAGTGAGAAAAAGGCTTCTCGCATCTCCAGAGACCTGGCTCTTGTGGGACTGGTCCAGGCACAGCAGGTGTGTTGACACAGATACGAATGACACTAGAGTTCACAGAGATTAATTTTTGCTTTGCTTTTGACATATTCACACAACCTGAATCGTAGGCTTAGGCTCACACCTCATTCTGCTTCCTGGCGTGGCTTGCTTAGTCTGAGTTTTTGACGAACCTGGACTGAGGTTTAGAGTTGACAGTGAAATGCAAGCGCCTGGGATTTAATGTAATTGGTGAAGTCCTCGGAACTTCGGGGCACAGGAAACATGTTTACCTTTTACAAATTAGTGATTTTGTTTAAAGGCAAGTCCACTTTATGCATAATAGCCAACTCCTTGCACAGTTTGCAGTTGTCAAACCAGAAGCCTTTGGTTCCACTTTCCATCCTAATTTTCCTTCGGCACCTTTGTTCGCAGTTTGGCGAGCTCCTCTTCCAGACTTCTAATGTGCTCCTTCAGTGTGGCCTGGTCTTGATGGGCTTTCTGATTGGCTTGGCTTCTTGCTTCTTCAATTTTCCTTTCATACCACTTTTCCATCTGGGTAGACACAGCCTCAAAAAAATACTGGGTTAGTTCCAGGGCTTGGGCGGTGTCTCGAATAGGAGGGGCGGCCTGCTCACTGCCGGCTGCTGCGGGTGGCTGCCCGCTGGAGCTGCTGGCCGCCGGCTGCTGGCCTCGATGCTTCGTCTGCCCACTTTTCCCAGATTTCTTGGTTTGGGTGCCTCTGTTGACACAGGACCCAGCCTGCAGATCATACCTGGAGGCCTCATTCAAGGGGGGAAGCACTGTCTGGACCTTGACATTCCTGAGCCGAGAGCCTGTGCAGTCAGAGGAAGGCCCCTCCTGCTGTAGACTGTGGGCAGCCCCAACACTGAGGGCCTTGTCCTTAGGCCTCACTACCTGGGAGGAGCTGTCAGGAGCTGCTGCTGGCCCTGCAGTCATCACTACTTGATCCATGCCTGGTTTCAAGGGAAAACAAATGTCAGAGCAGTTCCACAGGCAGCCAGGTGACAGCAGGGAGGCATTCAGAGTATCCTGACAATTCCCAGCCTTCCCAGGTGCCACCCACCCACTTCTCTGTGCCTTTCTGTTCCTCCCACTTCATCTCTAGGATTATCATCTTGGCTGGTCAGGGCTCCCGTGGACTCGGGGTTAGCCACACAAGTAGTGTCTAGGCCAGAAAGTTTGCTGGCCTTTCTTTTGTTTGTTTGTTTGTTGAGACAGGATCTTACTGTAGCCCTGGTTGGCCTGGAGCTCCTTATGTAGGCCACGCTGGTCTTAAAAGTCACAGAGATGCATCTGTCTCTGCCTCAATTCTGGGACTGAAGGCCCAGCTGGATCTAGATTTTTTTAAGAAAATATTTTATTTATTATTTTTATGTGTGTATTGCCTGCATGTATGTAAGTACACCCGTGTTGTGCAATGCCCACGGAAGACAGAAGAGGGTGTCAGATCCCCTGGAACTGGAGTTGTGGACAGTTGTTGGCTGCCATATGGGTGCTGGGATTCAAACCCAGGTCTTCTGCAAGAACAGCCAGTGTTCTTAACTGCTGAGCCATCTCTCCAGCCCCCTGGATCTAGATTTTAAAAGTCATAACAGTAAGCACGCCTTTAATCCCAGCACTCGGGAGGCAGGGACAGGTGGATCTCTGTGAGTTCAAGGGCAGCCTGGTCTACATAGTGAGTTCCAGGACAGCTGGGGCTACAGGGAGACCCTGTCTCAAAAAGACCAAAAAAAAAAAAAAAAAGTCATAACAGTAAAAGGGAGACTCTAGGAAGAGGAAGGAGACCAGTAGAAGTGGGGAGTACAGTAAGAGAGGATAATGGGAGGTGATATACATGTATGAAAGTGTCATAATGAAACCCATTATTTTGCATAATAAACATGCTAATTTTAAAAGGAGCCACTTGAAAAAGATCAAGTGTAATCACTGTGGCTAAAGTAAAGATTCTTTGCTTAAAACATGTCTTACACCTGGGCAAGTTCAGGGCACAGATTACTGCTTGAAAAGGTTTTGCAGATTCAGGCAAAGGTGAGAGGGCACTAGAGGTGGCAAGAGGGCAGAACAGGAAAGCCCTGTGCGGAGACAGCTGGTCCTCCACCCCCACCATCAATAGTGAACCTAAAGCCCAGTTACATAATCAGCTATTTTATTCCTTCATCCATACATGTCTGAACACTTACTGTTTTCTACCCTCTAGGAACTATGCAGCTGTGGACAGAATAGGAGCCTTGCCGTGTTTGCGGCAGCCCTGTCACATGGATAACCTGCAGCTGAGGGAAGAAGGACGTATGGGTTTCACTATCTGGACAGAAGGCTTTCTCTGTACGTGGGTTACCTATAGAGGAATCACAAGTAGATGGTGTGGGTTTAGCTCTAGAGGTCCTAGAATCTCCAGAAAGCTTCAGTTCCAGATGCTGAATCTTCAACATACACCAAGTTTTTAATTCATCCACTAAGGACATCTAAAGTAATAATTGGAGACACAAGAACCAGGTGAATTGGATTAAGCTTATGACTTAAAGCATTAAGAATGAACTTTTTATTTTTATTGTTTAAAAGATTTATTTTATGAGCTGGTAAGATGGCTCAACAGGTCAAGGTGCTGGCTGCCAAGCTTGACAACCAGGGTTCATTCCCTGAACCTACATGGTGGAAGGAGAACAGACGTCCACAAACTGTCCTCTGACCTCCACACCTGGACCTTGGCTTGTATGCCCCCCAAATAAATTCAATAAAAAATTTAAAATACCTATGTTGTTTTTTATTTATGTGTATCTGTATGTTTCATGTGAATATATGCATGTGAGTGGGTACCTATGGAGACAGAAGATCTGGAGTTACAGGTAGTTGTGAGCAACCCGATGTGGGTACTGGGAACCGATTTGGGTCCTCTGGAAGAGCAGGAAGTGCTCTTAACTGGTGAGCCAGTTCTCCAGCAACCAAGAATGAACTTTTAAATTATGAGAGTTGAGGTTACAATTTGACACATCTAAAAGGGATTATTCATCCTCCCATAGCCCGTACCCTCCCAAATTTTCCAAACCAACTGTTTGTGGTGGCTCAGAAATGCAAACTCTCAAAAACTCAAGAGTACTCATTCCATTTCTGATGTGGAAAAGCCATAGACTATTGAAGGAGGGAACCAATGAACTGCCAATTGGCAGAACTGACTCAGGTAAAGACAGCCTTCCCGGCATGCTCTCCACATAGCACCAGCGGACTCAGCAACAGACTCAAATGGGACTACATGTTCCTTGCTATATGAATGCAAATAGTTTTTTCAATCTCAGCCTTGGAGTTTTTCATTGCTAGACCTGAATTCCAGTTCAGTGGACGTGTTCAGTGGTGAAGGACTGACAGACACTGGTTCACCTGACGTTTTTCTCCCTCGTGTTTCTCGGCATCTACATGCTGTTGCAGGCGATTCAGGCACTCTGTTCTCTCTGCTGAGAGTCGCTCAACCATCAGCTTGTCCAAAACACGCATCTAGAGTTCAAGGAGATAGAGTGTATGCTGAGCTGATCTAAGAATGGGCCCTGGTCTCCACCATGAGGGCAGTACACAAAACGGGCAGCAAACTTCAACTCCTTCCATTCTAGTTTTAGAGCATAAAATTCTAGTGTTTCAGAATTCTTTTTGTTTGTTTGTTTAATATTTTATTTATTACTTTTATGTGTATGTGTGTATTGCCTGCATGTGTGTAAGTGCACCCATGTCGTGCAATGCCCTCGGAGGTCAGAAGAGGGTGTCGGATCCCCTGGAACTGGAGTTAGGATAGTTGTTAGCTGCCATGTGGGTGCTGGGATTTGAACCTGGGTCTTCTGCAAGAACATTCAGTGTTCTTAACTGCTGAGCCATCTCTCTAGCCCCGTGTTTCAGAATTCTTGAACATATTTCTGTAAGGTCATTTTTCTTTTTTCTCATTTGTTCAAGTCTTAATAGATCATGAATACACACAAAATACACAACTTAAGCAAATACAGACCCTATAGGCGAGAACTCTGAAAGATCTTAGATTATTGGTGTCACGACTACCATCAGGAACAACCAGCTCTAAAAGAAGCTGCTAATGACCGACTTCCTGTAGTTACCACAACAGTAACAGCTCATCAAGAAGGATAAAAAGCCCAATACTGAAGCTTTGCTATCCCCAGTGAGCAGGAATTTCTATTGCTTCATTAAAAGCAGTCAAAGCATGTATAGAAAGGGAGTGGAAGCTGCTTCCAGACTTGCTTCAGAGAACAAGCGACAGCCACCATTTAGTCAAGGACCCTTCTGAGGTGTCCCAGTATCATGCTTTCCAAAAGGCAATAACTTCTAGACTAGGCCAAGCTCACTGCTTTGAGAAAGCCCAAAGAAGAAAATGAAAGTACTCTTGGAGGGATCCAGCCCATGAGGGCTCACTGGTGTTGGTGACACACATGGCATTCCACAGCGAGGTGTTCTAACATTTGGAGAAGCACCAGTTCTGGAACTAGGTGAGCATCTCCTGTTGTGTCTCTTGGGTTCCTGTGTCTGTCTGTGGATTGCCTTCCCTGTTTCCTAGGACTGCCTCCTTCTTCTTCTCTTCTGCTGTAGAGCTGTCTATACCAAGAGCAGGCATGTGTGTTGGGCTTGTTTGCAGGTGTCAGGGCAATAACCTGGGTTCCAGTCCTGTCCTTGACACTTGGAATGAGAACTGGCATTATCCCCTTATCGGCTACCTTTCCCACACTAAGAAGAGGCCCTAGGGATTGAGCATGCATCCAGGGCAGTCTCCTGTGGGTGCGGATTGGCTCATACATTATACACTGATGATTTTTCAAATTAGCTTTCCACAAAATGCAAGAAGCAAGCAAACCTTAAAAATGTTCAGTCTCATGGGCCGGGGGTATGGTGGTGCACACCTTTAATCCCAGCACTCAGGAGGCAGAGACAGGCAGATCTCTGTGAGTTCAAGGCCAGCCTGGTCTACACAGTGAGTTCCAGGCCAGCTGGGGCTACAGGGAGATCCTGTCTCAAAAAGACCAAAAAAAAAGAAAAAAAAAAGGTTCAGTCTCAGGACAGGTGTGATGGTACATGCCTTCCATCCCCGCACTGGAGAGGTAAAGAAAGGCAGAGCTCCTTGAGTTCTACGTGGTCTATACAGCAAGTTCCAGGCCAGGTGGGGCTACATAATGAGACCCTGTCTTAAAAAAAAGTTCAGCCTTTGGGAAGAGAAAAAAAATGTCCAGCCTAAGTGGGGGACAGAGAGATCAAGTCATCTGAAAATGTCCAGCCTAAGTGGGGGATGGGGAGATCAAGTCATCTGAAAATAAGGAAATGAAACTTAAACAGTAAAATGTACTTAATTTAACACACAAAAAATGAGATAGAAACTGCTGGGTGGAGTATATGAATTGGTGCAACCTTTCTGTGAGGTAATCTGCCAATATTTATCAAAGCCTCGAGCATTAACATTGGACTCAATTATTCTAATTCTAAATTAAAGTCTGAGAATGGGTCAGGGAGACAGTTCAGGGGGTAAAAGTATCTGCTGCCAAGCATCATGATCTGAATTTCAATCCCTGGGACCCATGGTAGAAAGAGCACAGTTCCCACTAGTATCCTCTGACCTCCACTGAGAGACAGCATGCGGGCGTGCATGTGTGTGTGTGTGCGCACACACACACACACACACACACACACACACAGTACCTAAATAAATAAATGAAACAAATTTTTATATCTGAGAAGTAGCTGAAAATTACGTGTATAAACGCTAATCTTAGCATTATTTATGAGAGAAAAATCTAATAATACACGATTAAGTAAGCTATGTTGTATTAATACAGTGTCAGCAGTTAAAGACACAGGTTCATGACATAATATTAAGTGGAAAGGAGGCAAAGTATTGTTCCCCCATCAGAGGAACAACATGACACTGTGAAGTGCAATACAGGTCAGTGTCACTGCAAGACGGAAAAGTGAGCTGCCCGAAACAGTGAGTCAGGTTTTGCTTAGAGATCTTTATGGAACTTTGGAGCTATGAGAGAAAAGCCACTGGGAAGAGGCAGCACTGGAGAATGGCCTTGTGAAACATGGCACTTTAGTTGGGAGGAGTTTCTCTAAAGCACATTATTCATATATTTCCTTAAAGTATATTTTAATGAAAAATTAAATGACAAAGAGAAAAACATTTACAATGGAAGAGGATGGAGTGCCCAGCTAGCTTAGCATCATTAAGGAGGCGTCCTGACATTCTGTGACTCCATGTGGGGGGCAGTTTGAAGTTTATACTAACAACCAAGAAGTATTCTTGCCAGAAATATTTAATCTGAACATAAACAACTGTGTGGACCAGCTGTTCAAACCTTAGCACAGGCCACAGCATCTGGAGGCCTTGCTAATCACAGGCTGTGGGCCCCACCCAGAATTTCAGTCACAGTTGATTAAATTTGACTCAACAGATCAGGAATGGGCCCAAGAATTTACCTCCCCCAACCCTAAGTCTCCTGGGGCTGCACTCTGAGAACCACTGTTCCAGAACTTTCTGTTTACAGAAATGCAGGGACAGAGAGACAGCTTAAATACCCCCATGAAGAAACTAGCAACAGGGGCTGGAGAGATGATTCAGGGGTTGAGAGTACTGACTGCTCTTACAGAGGACCTGAGTTTGGTTTCCAGCACCTAACAGCAGCTTACAACAATCTGTAACTTCAGTTCCAGGGGATCTGACATCCTCTTCTGGTCTCTGAGGGCACCACACACACGGTGCACTTATATACAGGCAAAACACTATTTATAATAATAAATTGGGGGAAAAAAGAAGGAAAAAAAAACTCTAGCAAACAAATCTCGACTATAGCACATCCTACAAGACTCTGGTATGGATGCTCGAAGAGAGAAAGCTCAAGGGATTAGTAACCACTCTAAGAGACCACACATGCCCAACAGTCAAGCATACAAACGGCATCTTTACTGGATCCTAGACTGAGATGAAAATCAAAGAGCCAGATGTAGTAGCACACACCTGTCAACCCAGCACTTGGGAGGTCAGGATTTCAAGGCCATCCTCAGTTACATAGTGAGGTTTTTATTTTTGAAAGAGACAAGGTCTCACTATGCAGCCCACACTGTCCTTGAACCTATGATCCTCCTGACTCATCCTCCTGAGTGCTAGTATTATGCATGGCCACTATGCCAAGCAGGAATATACAACTTTTATAATCAGAAGCAATTTAGGCATTTTCTGTGCCTGGGCTTGAACCCAAGACCCCAAGCATGCTAGGCAAGGGCTGTACCACTGGACCACACACAGAGCCCTAACATCTTTGAATTCATCTTCTGCCTTAACATCTGCCATTCAGGAGGCTGAGTGACTCACTTACTTGGTGCTGGGTCTTACTCTCCATCTGCCCCAGCTTTGTGTTCATTTTATCCTGCACTGATCCCAGCTCGGCTTTTAGCTCCTCCACAGTTGCCTCCAACTGGTTCTCCAGCTTGTTGATTAGAGGTTCACATCGACAACCCTTTATTGGTGCCTAGGAAGGGAAAAAAAGTACTCAAGGACTGGAGAGATGGCTCAGTGGGCTCAGTGGGTGTGAGCACTTACTGTGCAAGCCTTAGAACGAACATGAATTTAGATCCCAGTACCCACATAAAAAGCCAGGTATGGCCATCTGCACCTGTAATCCCAGAGCTGTAGAGAGGAGAATTGCTGGGGCTTGCTGGCCACCAGCCTAGTTCCAGGTTTAGTGAGAAACCCTGTCTCAAAGGAATAAGGTGGGGAGTGACAGCAGAGCACCTGATGGCCTCCTCTGGCCTCTACAACTTCCACACTCACATTCTCTCTCTCTCTCTCTCTCTCTCTCTCTCTCTCTCTCTCAAGGAATAAAGAGAGAGAGAGAGAGGAATCAGCTCTCCATTCAGCAATCTTCTTGAGCAACCACTATATGCCAAGAAGGGCATCAGGGGATGGCAGAGGGGACAGACCTACCCCTGCTCTAGCTTTGTGATGTCCCACTGACTGAGCTTTGAGGCCAGAGGCACTAAGAGAACCAGAGAATGAGACAGTCTTTATCTTGAAACTGCTTGCAATTTCTACTCTAGGGTCTCAAGACAGCGGTCTCAAGAGATTGGTACAGAAAGCTCTCTTTTTGCGAGAGCTTACCCAGCAGGATGCATCTGCACCCTTTGGGTGGTGGGGTGGATGGCTCATTCCTTACTAAGTCAAGGACTGAGTGGCCACTGACCTCCAGGTACAGACTTCGGCAGCCCCCAGCCCTTGCAGGGCAGTATGGCCATTGCAGCCCCACTGTACCTGCATCACTTTTCCATCCTCTCCCCGATATAGTGTGTACAGCTGGTACGCCCTGAACCCATGGGGCGGGGGCGGGAACCAACACCGATGCCTGTTCTTCTTTTTGGGGTGGTGATGGCTGTGCAGGTTCCTCTGGTGTCCAGATTGTTGGCCTGCTGCTGGGGTAGGGTCAGACAGGGCTGACACCTGTGGGAAGGAAAGGCCACCATCCCTGAGCCCAGAAACACCCACAGGTGGCTCCCATCTCACAAGAACCACAGCTCCCTTCTGTAGCGTTGGGCTCAGAACAGCACTCTCCCTGGACTCCAGACCCTTCCCCAAGCTTCTCATTCCCTCCCTCCTTGCTCCTGACCTCTGGTCTAGATTTTCTCTTCCGGTCATCTTTTCTGGGCTCCTGGGAGGCTGATGGGAGATCTCCTCTAGCTTCCTCTTTTCTGGGTACAGCTTGTTCACTGCTAGGGGTGTCTCCTGCTGATACGCTTCCCTACACAAGTGAAAACCCAAAAAGCTGTTTTATCTGTGCCTTTGACTTGCCTCTGACCCCAGCAGGGTAAACTTGTGTTTGCAAGACTTGGCAGATAATGGACCCACAGGGGTGTTAACCAATGACAGGCATCTACCCAGGAACCTGCTTGTCAGTAGCTTTTCCTGCCTGCCTGGCTGGGCACTTATTTATTGGGCCCCAAATGAAAAGCACTCTTGGGTGCAGTATGGTAGACTAGAACTCCAGAAAGCCATCAGATACAAAAACGTATTTGAGATTTGTGGGTCTTTTGAGTTTGAATGAGGCCCCTTCACAGGTTATGGCAAGAAGGACCTAGAAACCCAGCAAGGAAGAGCGGTCACAATCCTGTTCCTTGTGAGGACTCCTGTGACTTAAATACACGTGATTCACATAGAGGAACCTAATCAGTTATAATGCCTTAGACTTGGAAAACGATAAGTGGCCTGAAGTAGCATAGAGAAGAGCAAGCACTTAGTACTTCTTATATGCCAAGAACTTGAAAACCACCCAAGTTTTTCTCTGTACAAGGGCACCTAGCTGAGTGCGGCAAGGAGAGGTGGGGGTCAACTCAAGCTCTGGGCACCACCATCCTTTTCTGACATACACAAAGAAGCCACGAGGAAGGTGAAGCCTCAGGCCATTCTGTAGATAGAAAACAGGCTGTTCCAGAGGTTCTCAGAATCACCTCAACAGCTTGGTCAAACAGACCAATGGGTCCCTCCCCAGAGTTTCTAACCTGGGGAGTCCCAGGTGAGGTCCAAGAACGCATTTTTAATCAGGTCCCAGGTGATAATGTGGGCACTACAGTTGGAAAACCACAGCCCTGCACACGGCAGGGCACAGTAGAGGTGTGTCACACAGTACATAGGCTACAGGTACACAGAGCTAGTATGCCCACACAGTGCTCGGAGGATGAAAGCCACAAACACACACACACACACACACACACACACACACACACACACACCGTAACATGGGATCTGGAACTATGGCCAGGCAGGGACATGAGGAAGGGGGCAGCAGCCTGAGCCCAATGAGGAGAGGCCAAGGAGGGTGGTCAGGGGCTGGACAAGTGGGCAGTTGGGGCCTGGGGAAGGGCTCCCCACACCTTGCTCTGTGCCACCTCATCTCTGGGCACGGACTGAGCCCTCCTTTCTTCCTTGAGCCTCTCTCTCCTTTTCCTCAGGCTTCGCCCACGACTGAAGCGCAAGACCTGAAGGAGATAAACAGCACGGTTATGGGGGTGTGTGTGGGGGTGGGCAGCTCAGCAAGTCTCAGAGAGTTCTCACTGAGCCTGGCGTTCTGACAGAACCCACAACGTAGTGGAAGAGACCAGCGGTCACAGGAACCTCTGGACCTACTATCCTTCCTTGATCTTGTGCTGAGCACAACAGGGACCCAAAAATGGGTAGGATATTGTCCCTGATCACAAAAGGCTTAGTTTCTCTGGTGATAATAACAGGCATTTATGTGCTGGTCAGATAGGTGTGCACAGGCTGCATACTGCATAACTCCAGGGCATGCTGCTCGGGTAACCAGGACGGGAATGGTGTGCCAAGAGGCAGCCCCGTGCCAAGCAGTCTCAGCCTCCACCTTGGTATGCTGGACCTGAATTTAGTTTTCCTTGACCAAGGTGTGTGCAAGACAGGGTTGATTTAGTTCAGACGTTGCTGAGTTGCATCTGTGAGTCATCAGACTAACTGTGGATTCCCAAAGGAAGACTGCTGTCTGTCCCTAACAATGCAGTAAGGCAGAATGAAGCAGCAAGGGCACAGCGTGACCCAAGCAGCAGGCTGAAGATCTTCAGCACATAATTTTGACCACTCACACTCTGTCTTGCTAAATGGAAAAATGAGGAGCTGCTGGGATTAACCAGGAACAGGAGGTGGCTGTGCACAGAGGTCCTGTGGTGCTTCTGCCATTCCAGATGCTACTCAACAGAGGATGTTTAGCCTTAGAGCACAGATCTGAGTCTCTGGAAACCTTCAATCTCTGGCCCATAGTATTTAAGAAATGTAGAAGTCTGAGAGCCATGGCTCGTGCCGGTTTAGACTCACTGGCAGATCAAGTGCCACAAAGTAGTGACTAGTTTGATTGCTCGCCTGGTTTCCATGGTATTAGAACAAGGTACAGCCAAAATCAGTCTGAAATTCTTCTGTGTATTTAAGAACCAAATCAGTAATAACTGACGTGAGATCATCTAAGCCCGAAATAATCATCAGCAAACTTCTCTCCACTGTGCATGTTATTGGCCAGTGAGAAGAACGCTATGACCCACAGCCTTTCTCAGGGAACCATGGACCAAATGGAACACTGTCAATACTCTCCAGACCACAGGAATCAGAAATACTGGCCATGAAGCCTTGGAAAGAGGCATCTTCTTAGTGCTGCTGTGCTCACTAAGGGCTTCAGCAAGGGATTTCTCTTTTCAGATAAAGCAGGCTGTTTGTGAAATAAAACAATATATATAGAATGTATTTGTATTCTAAAGTTCACTATTGTGCAGTGCCCTCAGAGGCCAAGCTGAGGAAAAGATTTGGTGTGTAAAACTGCATAGGGAATTTCCACAGTATGTCATTTGATATAGCTGCTGTTCAGTATCAGTATGGAAATGTAAGACATTTTTATCATATTTTATGTGAGTGCATAAATGTGCACCGCCAGGGTGCCTGGTGCCTGTGGAGGTCAGAAGGGGGCTTTGGATTCCATGGAACTGGAATTAAGGACAGTTGTTAGTCGCCATGTGGGTTCTAGGAGTCAAACCTGAGTCCTCTGCAAGAACAGCTTTTAACCACTGAGACATGTCTCCACATCCCCGTCCCCCCATCATTTTAAATGGAAAAATAAAAGAGAACAGTACAGAGAGATGGCAAAGCTTTTACCCTGTAAGTGAAAACCCTTGGACTCGGGAAGACGACTGGCAGGTGGACTAAAACCATTCTTCCTCTGCCTGGTAAATTCTGCAACCCCCACAAGATATGGGGACTGGTGTGAGGCTGAGGATAGGGCTGGTGGGCCATCAAATTCTGAAATACTGAAATGGTGGACAGATGGGCTGCCTCCTGACAATTACATGACACCCTCTACTTTCTGATAGTGACAAACAGGCATTTTACTATCCTTTGTAAAGCTGGAGAGAGGTGGGGAACTGCACTGTGACAGCTTCTCATACCTGATGCCTGCATCTGAGTGCATAGCTGTCCAAACACCACTGAGCAGGACCACCTCCACGTGCAAAAGGGGGGGCACTTTTACAAAAGGCAGTCTAGAAACTGCTGCCAGTCACATCAGACATGTCCTTAAAACTGAGGTGAGATGAGGGCCTTGTGCAGCCTGGTCGAGGCACTAGCAGGGTGGCCTCAGAGGCTTCTTTTTGCTCCCTGAGCCTCAATGAGACAGAAAAGTCAGTGTTTCCAGATTTGCTCCAATCTGGAAAGAACTTCCTGCTCAGCATCAGGGAAACGGTTTTTAAAAATATTGACAGGCAGATGTGGTGGTGCATGCCTTTAATCCCAGCAATTGGGAGGCAGAGGCAGGTGGATCTCTGTGAGTTCAAGGCCATGCTGGTCTACATAGCAAGTTCCAGGCCAGCTGGGGCTACAGGAAGACCCTGTCTCAAAAAGACCCCCCCCCAATATATATATGTAGAGAGAGAAAGAGAGAGAGAGAGAGAGAGAGAGAGAGAGAGAGAGAGTGAGAGAGAGAGAGAACATGTTTCCATTAAAATGAACAATCATGAACACCGCTAAGAATTAGCCTGCCAACAGTCAGGGTGTGAGGTGGATGGGACAGGCTGAAAACACAGGCCCAATTATAGAAAAACTGTGTGTGAAAGGTATGAAGGAACACAGCCCTTAGGTCAAGAGCTAGAATTACGAATTCTTTACATTTATTTAATGTCAACTTCATGTAATGACAATGACCATCATTTCTGAGTGAAGGTCAAAGTACCCAGATTCAATAAGAAAGGGTTCGGAAAACACCCAAAACCCTATTCTGTACTTTACTGCCTTACCTGGATATTGACTGATCTGTCTGATCAGAATGGTCCTCCTACTTTCCTCTGAGAAATGCTCCCCTCCCCTCTCCAAGACCCTGCCCCTCTTGTTGCAACTTGCTTGTCTGTAAGTGCACCCGTGTCATGCAGTGCCCTCAGAGGCCAGAAGAAGGCGTCAGAGCCCCTGGAACTGGAGTTACTGGTAGTTGTTAGCTGCCACGTGGGTGCTGGGAATTGAACTCAGGTCTTCTCCAAGAGCAGCCAGTGCTCTTAAACCACTGGGCCATCTCTCCAGCCCATCAATTCTTACTCAGTTAGTTTTCAACTGGCTTCAGTGGCTCACAACCGGAGGAATCCCAGAAATACTATAGCTCCACATAATTGGTACAATGGAAAATGCAGTAAGTCCTACTTGGGGAGCCTTCGTGAGGAGCAGAGCAACTTCGGGGTTATTGTGGTAGCGGGCAGTCTCCAGCGGGGTCTGGCCTGCCTAAGGAAAGACATAGGGAAGACAGGTGAGAACAGGACACGAGGGTGTGCAGCTCCAGTTTCCACCACGCCCGGGCAGGGGCACCCACTCCTGGGCCTCAGGAGCAAAATACAGACCAAGGCCGTTAAAGCCTCTCAGCCTCAGGGGCCCAGTGCTGACCCAGCAGGTAACTGTGCTTCAGAAAGGAAGGAATGGAAACCTGAGAAAGATCAAGTTGGACATTTCTGTTGAGGAAACAACACGAAGGACCATAAAATCCACCCGAAGAACTCGGGCAGGCTCAGCACAAAATTTCAGCTACAATGTGGATTATAAGGTTAAGCTAAAGGCCAAGAGTGGATGTCAGTGAGATTCCAAAGGATGGGGAAGGTGCCCTGGGCGTCAAGGCAGCTACACCATCTAGGCAGGTTCGGGGCTCTAATAGAGGAAGGGAGATGGAGCTGGACACAGAGCTAAGGAAGACCAAGCACCTTTGGCCAGCTTCAGCGTCCCAAATCCCACACGCTGTCCCCGACGTCCCTCAGAGGAAGAAGAGTGCCAAACTCACTCAAGACCTGGGGAAGTGACTGCACGAGGGAGGGGCAGAGTCCTGGAGGGAGAGGCAGTAGAGGCCTGAGATAGGTGCAGTAGCCGGCCACTATCACCCACAGGCCAGGTTGTTGAGAACCCCTCAGAGCTCTCCTTGCTGTCTAAAAGGACTTGTCAACTCCTAGAACTGCTCAGAGTTGGGGTTCCCCAAGCCCAGCTGAGAGCCCCAGGGCCTGTGGCTTTGGCAGAGCATGCTGGATCCTTGGGTCTACAAGGGGGTGAGAGAGCCTGTGGATTGTACTGCTGAGGCTCAACTTACGTTATTCACGATGGCTGCATCAGCACCGGCTTCCAGCAGGATTTTAGCTACCTTCTTGTGGTTTAGGGCAGCTGCCACATGAAGGGCTGTGTCTCCGGCCTGAAATCAACCAGAGTCGGCCTGCTGACCCAACTTGATGGGCCCAGGGCTAGCTGTGCATTCTCAACCTATGACACTCTCCAAAGCCAAATGAGATTTGCCCCTACATACACGAAGCTCTTTGTTAAAGCCTTGCATGGAGCTGTTTAAAGAGACCTCAAATCCAAATGGTCAATGCATCCCTAATATACTACTTTTTAACTGGGGAGTCCAAAAGTCAAAGAACAGGATTAAACACAGGGGTGCAGGTGGCTGAGAGTGGAAGGGCTCAAATTCCCCAGGAGACAGGCTGAGGGGCTGATCTCATCTAAGACCCTTAGAAGCACTGGGCTTCTAAGGCGGGGTTGGGCAGAAACTGAAGAAGACTACTTCGTGAGCACTGGAAGGGTGACAGCCTAGCCCTGGACTCAGAGGGCTGCTGGAACAGTCCACCAGCAGGGTCTGGTGGGGACACCAAGGACCTCTCCATCTATAGCCTATAAGTTTTCATATTTTCTTTATATAAAAAGTGTTCCCAGGCAATCAGGTCTGAAAGGAAGACAGACAACTGCCACTTAGCAGGCCCATTCCAAAGACAAAGGCTGTCATTTCCAGAGACAAGACATGAGCGAGACAAACACGGGAAGTGCAATCATCTTCCCCTGCCCAAACAGGCAGAGAGCTTTGACCTTTACTCACAAGCAGTGTGAAAGTTCAGTGATTTCTGAGTAGCAGCAAATGCTTCACCTGTATCATTCTGGGTGTGTATTGGGGGGAGCTCTGTGGAAGTAGTACCAGTCTTGGACACATACTGGAATCCAGGAGGAGCTTTGCCAGGCTTCCACTCCTAGACCTGATTTCACTGGATTGCAGTGTTGACTGGGTGTGGGGATTTTAGGGCTGCTGTGATGAGATTTTTAAAAATTTTTATTTATTATTCTTATTTTATGTGTATGAGTTTATTGCCTGCATGGATGTAAGTGTACTTGTGTCATACAATGCCTGAGGTGGTCAGAACGGGCATTGGATAGCCTGGAACTGGTGTTATAGATGGTTGTTAGCTGCCATGTGGGTGCTGGGAACCAAACCTGGGTCCTCTGCAAGAGCAGTCAATGCCCTTAACGGCTGAGCCATCTTTCTAGTCCCATGGAGTGGGAATTCTTAAAAGCTCCAGGTGACTGTTATGTACTGCCAAGGCTGGTGGGGAGGGACTAGTAGCCCGTGAACTGGAATGCACTAGGAAGGAGGCTTTTCATTAGTCAGTGGTTCTCATCCTGGCTGCATATTCAGGAAGGAGCTTTGCAAGAGTATCCTGCTGGGCCTCAAGCACAGAGATTGGGGCTCTTAGATTGGTGGGATCCAGAATGGCATCTTAATACCCTGGCTGGCTCTCATAAGAGCAAGGGTCAAAAACCACTGTTACAGAGTATGCCTAATCTGGACCAGAGTCTAATTTTAACTCCAGATTTATGTACCCACTCCTGTGCCCAATAGACAATGCATCATCTAGGAACCAAGGATCCCATGATAACCTATTTCCTTTACCCAAATGACCACTGAAAGCCACACCCACTTCCAGAGAACACTTAATCACTGCCTCACTTCAGAACCACATATGGGGCACAGATACAGGTCTTGTACCCAACTTTAAAGGAACAAGAGACTCCAGCAGCTCACACAGAAGCGGTAGCGCAGGGAGCAGAACAGACTTCATGGGACTCCTAGTTCATTTCTTTAGTAACCATACTCTGCTTTGTAGGTTTTCTTGATAAAATCATGTTATAAACAAAAGCTACCTGAAGATCTCTCAACATTCACTGTGCAACTGTGGTGATATGCACAGGAATGCCAAGAATACATGGCCAAGGGATTAGGATGCCAGTTAAGCCAGGGGGATACAACAGTGGAATACCATGCAGAAACCAGCACTGGTGGAGTTCCAGTCAGAGGGCGGCACCCCCAGCAGCCTCTGCTCCTGTGCATTAACCCCCATCGGGGGCCCTTGTGGGAAGGGTTCCCAGTGCATGAAAGGATGTATGTACTGACCTGGTTCTTTTCATGAACAGAACAGAAAGCACTGAGGAGGAGTCTAACGATGGACAAGTGATTATAGCGAGCAGCCACGTGCAAACAGGTGTCACCTGCCTGCGGATAGAAATCAAACTCTAAGTAGTTTGTCAGCATTTAAAAAACATAACAAAAAAATGTTTCTGAGCTCATTTAAAAGCTGGAAGACTACTGTATATTCTGCAGGGGATGGTAACCTGAACTATAAAGCTCTCTTTTAACATAGCTGCTTCACTCCCAAGACTGCTCCCACGCAGGGAGATCTTAGCGATTTCTCAGAGAAGCTTACGCCATGGACTTTTCTGTGACAGTTTCTCTGTGGGGTGAGGAGGAAGGATACTCTCAAGACCTTTTAGAATGGCTGCCCTGCCTGTGCATTGGAAGGATGCCTCAGTCATCAACAGGACTGCCCTTTGAAGATGCTAGGTACTGCACATCACAGGACACCCCTGCATGGTACTGTCCCATACAGAAACTGTACAATGGTAGACAGTCTTAAAACATTTACAGACTTCCTGGCCTGTCCTGGACAGACACGTGGTAAAAGAAATGATAATGTAAACTTGAGGCACAAATAGAGAAATACGGAAAAGCAGCACTTCCCCTAGGTGACCCCTTGGGAAATTAGCAAAAAAATTCATTTACAGACAAGCCCCAAATACTTCTGGCATTTTAGTTTCAGATATTAATGCTGAATCCACTTTGGGGGTTCTTTTCCAAGGTAACAGAGCATAGAGAGCCCATAGGAAGCGGCTTCTTTCACCCACGTTATTTTTGAGGTCAGCGCGGGAGCCACCCAGCAGGAGGATGCGTGTGCTCTGGGAGTGGCTGTTCTGGCAGGCCAGGTGCAGAGCTGTGTTCCCTGCCTTGAAGAGAGGCAGAGAGAAGGGAAGACATGTTAGCAAAGTACTCCTGCATAGGCCTGTATACCTTGCAAAGGGACCATACTTACTCAGGAGAAAGTCAGCTATGGTCACATTCTGCTTCCTGATGGAGTTTCCAGTCAGTGCTTCAGATTCAAGAATAGTGAATGTAGAGTCCAAACACGCTGCTGAGTCCTATCTGTCCCTAAGCCTTGGCTCTACCCCTTGAGAGTTAAAACCTGCTGGATACAGCGCTTCTTTTAAAAATTTTAAAAATTTTTTAATATTTATTATTTTTATTCTATATTATGTGTATGGGTGTATTGCCTGCATGTATTTAAGTGCACCTGTGTTGTACAATGCCTGCAGAGGTCAGAAGAGGGCATTGGATTTTCTGGAACTAGAGTTACAGATGGTTGTTAGCTGCCATGTGGGTGCTGGGAACTGAATCTGGGTTCCCTGCAAGAGCAGCCAGTGCTCTTAACCACTAAGCCTAGTACTTCAGTTTTTATCTCAACCTTCTTACCAGAAATGGAGAATGAGCCCACCTCCTCAGGCCATGAGGATGAGAAAGGGCTCTTTGCATTTTCTGAACCATAGCATGTGTGTAGCTCTGAATCCCTTTCAGAGATGACTTTGCATCTAGTGTGTGTAGTAACTGTGGCTATAGAACACTGCCTATGCTAGAGAAAACCAATACTTCCAGTGCTGGAGAGGTGGCTAAGCAGTTGAGAGTACTGGCTGCTCTTTCAGAGGGTGTGGGTTCAATTCTCAGCACCCACATGGCAGCTAACAACCTTCCATAACTCCAGTTCCAGGGGCTCTGACTCCCTCTTCTGGCCTCCATGGGCATTGCAAACATGCATACAAAATATCAAAAATATACACATAAAATAAAAATAAATAATTTTTTTTTGAGACAGGGTCTCCTTGTAGCCCCAGCTGTCCTGGAACTCACTATGTAGACCAGGCTGGCCTTGAACTCACAGAGATCCGCCTGCCTCTGCCTCCCAAGTGCTGGGACTACAGGTGTGCGCCACTGCGCCTGGCCATAAATAATTTTTTTTAAAAAAGTGACCTACAGTAGATGCATGATCACCACCCTGAGTAATTGGTACTGACTCCCCAGACAGTGTGCTATATTTGGTGAATAAGAAGAGTTTCTAGAAGATTCCTTAGAATCTGTCTGGTATAGAATATCCCTCTTTGAGATGGCACTAATTACCTTACTAGTACTTCTGAATCTTTCATCACTTTAACCTGAGAAAGGACTTATGGCTTTCCACATTCCTCTTGGTGCCCTCCATGGGACAGGAGACCATGTGGTGCAGCAGAGGGACCCAGACTAGTTGATGGCCCTAATGTGTCACAAACAACACTTATTCACAAACTGGAACCACCTACTTCTCAGTCAGTATAAAAAGAAATCCAGACTATGCTCCATCTTGAAGAAATAGTACAGGTCCCAACTAACAGGCCATGAGGCCAGCATTATTGGTGACACTGTGAAGAGGGTCCCACAGGCTTCTTCCCAAGAAGGAGCCACAAGAAATGTGACCACAAAGCTGTTGAGAAGAGCCACAGGACAGCCCAGTGTGCCAAAAGGGAGACCTGGGCTAGTTCAGAGGCAGAGGAGAGGAAGGACTGTGTCTAAAAGGGGGCATCTAGAAGACTCCTGAAACCCACTAACACTGCAAGGGCCATGTGCTGGGAAGAACATCAGTGAGCAGGCTAGCACGGTTCACTAGAAGGTTCCTGAGCAGAAGAAGAGTAGGATGGGAGGGCACCAGGCTCATGCTAGACAGTCTGCTGTGAGGCTTCTCGAATAGTCCAGGGATACTTGTGATGAGATACAGATGTGAGACATGGAGCAGTGTCCAGAGGGGGATACATATGGAAATCAGGGAGATGAAACACTGATTTTGTCCTTGTCTTCATCAGATTCCAATAAGCCAATGGAAAAGCTGTTGAGTGAATAACCTTTGTGGAGTGTCTTAATTTCTCTAGGGCAGGTAGTCTATCT